TTCCAAAAATATTGTCTCTCTAATTTTTCGTCATCAGTTTCTTGGTGACTCTCTTCAGCTGGGAAATTTCTACTGGTTCTGTCTTCTTCCATTCCTTTACATTCGTCTGCCATCTTTGAGTGGTAAGTACGTCATGTATGAGGAATTATCATCTCCAATACTTATAATGTCCTATACTATACATATAATAATTCTCCATACATGACAGTTTGTTACTTCCGCTGACTAACTCTCAATGAGGCTCAGAAATCCCGCAACACTGAGGCAATCCAGGCCTGATAACTTTCTGGTACGTTTCCGGTGCCAAACCGGGTAGTTTTCGCCTTGTAAAAACTTGGAAAACATATATTTTGATTCATTATGGACGAAGATTCATCATTTCGTTGTCGAAAGTGTCGACTGAATCTTTTTTCCGTCAAGCAACTTGCATCTCACAAAGATCAAAAGGAGAGAGACAGACTTGGGGCAGGTCAAATAGATTTGTTCAGTCACGAAAAATGTTCTTCCTGGTTCTTAGAAGATGACGAAATGCTTCCTTGGGTCCGTGATAGCGTGGAAGAGGTGTGTTTTAGTCCCGTTAGTTAGCTCTGGAAGGCTTGCAACTCAGCAGGCTACATGGTACAAAAAGGAGAGTTTCAGTTTGTACTACTAGTGAAGAAGTACATGCCCCTTAGGTGGGCATCCATAAAGACTCAAACGAAGCGAATGGTACTCTGAATTTGAATCACACGTTTAAGATGAATAACCATTTACGCCCTTAGTATGCATGTTCTCCTTACTGATCGATATGCATTTCCTCAGATGCTGACGAGGAGAAGTTGGTGATCATTGTCTTGTTCTCGTGACCTTAATATAGGATTCAGAGGGGGATGTTGTGAGGAGAAATTAGATCCTGGACAGTCTAAGGGGTTAAAGGGTTTAGTGTTTTGAGTTAAAGATCTTTTTTTAATTATGGTAGCTGAAAGAAATGGGAAATTTTTATTTTATGGTCACCTTTACTGCCACGAAGACACTGTATAGCAAGATTTTTGGGTAATTATAGATAACCTCAGTGTGGTCAAAGAGAGAAATCAGAGTTACTTTGCCCACTGCTTGTAAAAAAATGTGAGATGTTTTTTGTTCACATGTTTTCTCCCTTTTTAGTTTGATTTCTGAATGACTTTCTATAGGGTTGATGTATAATCTTTATTTGTGCTCTAGGCTCAATGGACCGAGGGAAAATTGTATTGCCCCAAATGCAAGAGTCGAATAGGAGCTTTTGACTTTATTCATGGAATACACTGTAACTGTGGAAAGTTTATTATCCCAGCTGTCTGGATTCAAAAAAGTAGAGTTGATCTTATTTTGCCCACAAGTCAGATGACAAATTTGGATATCAGGAGCCCTTCAATATCTTTCAATCAGTCTACAAGGAACTCTTTTGGCAAAACTGCAGAACTACAAAATAATATGACAAAATCTTTTGTTGGAAATATTAGTGAGTTTGATTACACAGACTTCAGGGGAAATACAGACACAACACAGATTGCATCATCCTCAGTATTCTCAGTGGTAGATGCCAATGGCAGACTTGTGGATAGTGAGGGGAATGGTGAGCATATAATTTACATGTAGGTGCATTTGAAATGTTAGTTACAAATTTATTACTGTATCATGTTGTCAATGATAAAAGTTATCTAAATGCTCTAAAATCATAAGATTTCAATATGAAGTTTTATAGTTGTTTAGTAATGGTAAAAAGTGTACTGTTAGGAATTCTAACTGACATTCCGCCATGCAAACCAAAACCTGACTGAAAATGCATGGAAATTCCCAGTTTTTGGCAAAATACTGTAAATTTAATTCCCATCTAGAACAGTTGGGTTGCTGAAAAGGAGAGACATGTTTTGCATGTATGTAAATTGCATGAAAAATGAACTGATTGTGCAACTGTTTCACTTTACATTGTAGATATTAGGCACTGCATTGATGAAGGAACATCTTCATGCAATTCAACATCAGATATCGCGATGGAAAACATACCCAGTTCTCTCAAAATGCTAGCATATAAGTTTAGCTCGCGCAAGAGAGAGATATCTACATGTACTGTGCGGCAAGATATTTGTCCAAACACTTCTCATCTAACTGGGTTATGTCCCATTCATAACTGTAAACAGTGTTGCAATATCAGATTGCATGAACCTTATTCTGGCTTAGAAGCAGAAACCTTGTTAAACACTGCTCAAGATGAGGCCCAGGAGTTAGTGCCCCAGCATACATGTAGATTTAGCTGTGCACTGCATTGTGATTCCTCTAAAGCTACAAAGTTAAATTCAAACACAAGTAGAGCAAGGGGCATTTTAAATGACAAGGAAACTTATAAGCAGAGATCCAGAAGGAAAACAAAGGGACGGCATCAAATATTACCAGAAGCTAATAATTTACTAGACATAACAACTGACCAGAGGGAAGAGAAGTCAGCTATTTGCCAATTTTCAGATCAAACGACATACTACAGTTGCTTGCCAGTTGATGAAGTTTCCAGTGAGCCTTTATGTAAGACAGTGGAAAAAAAGGTAAAAATCACTTACACTGTACCTCAACTGTATATGGCTTTTTTTTGTGGCACACAACTGGAATTAATTGAAAGAGGGTAAACTTTTTGTTCAAATTAGAACTGGAGAAAGAGTGCTTGGATTCCAGGTGTTGACCTTTGAGTTGTTATCATGTATCACATGCTGGTTTTAGAGTTGCAAGCTTCTTCACTTTTTGCAGTAGTTTGTCGTATTCAGTTATTTACATTTTCATCTCTTTTTAATTTTCAGTGCAGTTTTCATAGCAACTCACCTTTGCTTAAAACATTGAAATGACCAGTTATTGAGATGATTGATTGGAAGACAGTGTACTACTGACCATTGAATCACATGTGTTGTTTTTAACAATTTTAGACTATTTCAGTAGAAATCCAAGATCACCATTGCTGTGCTGTGTGTCTGGATCTGTTTTACGAGCCTTTTAAATGTTCTTGTGATCATGTGTTCTGTGACCCATGCTTACGACAGTTAAACTTCAGGACCAGTAGTAGAGGCTCAGTAAGATGCCCTTTGTGCCGGCAAATAGTCGAACAATTAACACCAGCAACAGGTAAAGTATATGCAATTAACAATGCCGTAAAGTATAATTGACAAGCAGTAGATGTCAAATGATAGCATATGTGGAAAACTCAACATGTTTTAAACAGACCATAGATTTCCCAAAAAGAGCCTCAAAGTGCTTTTTTACAGGACCCACTCCTCTCAATCTTCCATAGTCTGGTTACAGACCTTCCATAGTCTGGTTACAGACCTTCCATAGTCTGGTTACAGACCTTCCATAGTCTGGTTACAGACCTTCCATAGTCTGGTTACAGACCTTCCATAGTCTGGTTACAGACCTTCCATAGTCTGGTTACAGACCTTCCATAGTCTGGTTACAGACCTTCTATTTCCTGTTACATTGTCCAAGGTGTGGGTGAAATAGGAGCCATGGGAAATTTAACAACCATGAAGGCACCGGGATCACTCTTGTACTCCACACCTGTTCTTGCGCACTTAGTTTTGTGAGGAAGGGTCCACAGCTGTGAACTGACTTTTTCCCCTTAACAGCATATAAATTAGATTTCATTACCTCAGTACTTAGCATAATTGTATGTTCCTATAAAGACAGGGTTACTAACTGGTATATGATTTTTTATCTAATTTTTCACAGAACTAAGAAATGAGATTAGGCAGACTTATGATCCCCAGCTACTTAGGTAAGATATACTCTAGTCTTAACAGTCCCTTTTTTCTTCTATGGTCATTGGTCAGAGGGAGAGCAAAATAAGAATCGCTTGGATATTTAACAAATGTGATTGCTCTCACTCCCTGGCTGGTCCTTGACCTAAACAAAAAAAAAACACATGATAATAGGATGCTATTGGAGAGAGAGGCACTCTGAAAGGAAAGTCTTTTGCGCAAGAACAGAATTCCAGCGCACAGACTATTTGTTCACCGCGTCTCCCGCACGAAGTACCGGTCGTAGCTAAATCGAATGTGAGAAATCCGCCTTTTGTACGTCGATTTGTGGGTCAGTAGGTGTGAGAAGTAGCGATGTGTTTTGAACCATAATTATGAACCATGGCTATTATTTTGTATTTCAGGAAACGTGACAAAGTTGAGCGTCGAGCTGCGTACAGAAAATGGCCTCTCCCTGCTAACCAGGGGCCGTTACGGCGAAACACTTCACACACTCGGCGAAGTGTCACGCTACCTTGTATCATCTACATCTTTCTGATAGGTGCAAGCATGTATATGCTTCTGCTGGGCTCTGTTCTTTCAAATTTGACTACAAATAATGTAATAAGTTTGTATTAAGGATGGATTTCTAAAGATGACATGAAAAGGAGTTTAGTGTTGTAACATAATTTGAGAATGTAAAGAGCATGTGTGGTTTTTAATATGGTATCGTGTAAAGGGCGCAAAATAGCCATAAAGAAACGTTTCAGTGAAATGATGATAAGGCTACTGCAAGGAAGTTTATGTAAGTCATAAATTAATGAAAGTAAATATATAAACAGTCAAACATATGTATAACAAAAAAGAAAAGTTCGGATCGACGTTCCCAGCTTTCCCGGGCGGACTGATCCATGACATCAGAGAATTTGGCTGCTGATCAAAAGTGCCTTGCTAGATTGGTCAGTCCCAAAATTGTGTGTAATATTATGATGAATTTTTTTTTTCAAGATAAAAAGGGGCTCTTCATTTGTATAATGGCCTGTCTTATACCGGCAAGAGATAAAGTAGAAATGAAAGGTAGCTCTTCAAAGTTACCTGGGGCAGCTGGATTTTGAACGTTACTTGCGGTGATTTTTACCCTTACCAACTTCATTCCAATGTTCATTTACAAAAACTGTTGCTTATGGTTAGAGATGCAAATCTAGAATAGTTTATAAAATGTATGGGAAATAAATTGATATTTCAAATATGACTTTTGACGCCCGATTGCTTGTTTTCAGAAATTTATTTACATCCATAGATCAAATTTACAATTTTTAATTATCTGACCATAAAGCTACAAATCTATTAAGCGGGTTACAATTACTTGGTCGTTAATTCAGTTTTATTTATCTGCGCAGGGCTTGAACTTTTACTAGTAATTACTAAAATAAACAACTCCCCACATCTTGAAATGTTCGAGTTTTTATTCCCTGCATTCTTTGCAAACTTGTACAATGACGTCATCGGGCCCTGCTTGGCCTATTGTCCTTATCAACCATACCAAAGTCCCTGTATGAGAAAGTCGTCGGGTTTTATGTGACAGTAGAGGTCTTTAACAGACCTTAATCAAAATGCTTAAAACAATTAATATAATTTAAAAAGTTTAAGCTGCAATTCCATGGGAAGAGAAACCCATAGCATGTTACGGAATCAATCAACAAACAAAATCAACTTTACATTTTTTTTTTCAGGCACTGGTCAAGGAATGGCTGGTTGAATGAATACATTTGTGATTATGAAGGAACTAAAGATATCTAGCCTATTGTATAAGTTCTGTTTATACAAACGTATGTCATGCCAACATAGTAAACTAAATGTCACTTTTGTAGCTTGAACCCTATGTGTACATGACTTCATTTATGGCTCGATTTGAAGGCTTTTCGTGGCCTTAGTCACTCTTCTGTCCTACTCGGAGTTCATGCGACGTCCTCAGCAATAAAATCAGCTAAAGCTCTTCTGATTCTTTCTCTCAATTCTCTTTTGCTTGTAGAAGCAACAATTTGCTGGAGCATGGGGGATCTCTTTAGTTTGTGTTCTTGAGCTTCAATGGTTGCCTTTCTGAGAGGAAGTTTCTCAACTACATCCTCCAATCTTTTGATTGCTTCTGCACGAATGCTTTCCTTGTCACCTGGGTGCTCTTGGGCAAACTTTATCATTTCTTTTTTTACTTCGGTGATCCTACCTAATTACATGAAGCATTAAAAGAAAATCAGAATCTAATTAGTACCTGAAACTGGAAATCACGCAAAGGAGTTAAAGCAATACCAAGTTCTAGGTATCTGCCCACACCCCCACTCAGCTCTCTCTTACTTTTAACATATGCGATCTCTGCATCTTTGATGAAGGCTGTTTCTTTTTTCAAAAGATCAGATCGTTCCTTTTCATCAATGTTGAGGTCCTCCATGAGGTCCAAAGCAAGTTTAGTGGCGATTGCTTTGTGATGTTCGGGTGTTAAACCTCCAACCTCTGTAAGAGCGTCAGCATAGCCCTCCAATGCCTCCACATCTGCAAAGATAGATAGTTTAAGAGTATGTGAACCATGCGCCAAATTATCTGCCCTCTACAAACTGTTCGTTAGGTCAAAGTATTCTCAGAAATTATTGCACTTCCTAATTAGGTGGAAACTCTGCGTTTTATAGCTGTGCTCATAATGAGGATGACGATGCTATACACCACAAATTAATATAAGATTTGATGCTGCTCAACCGATGGTGGAATTGGACGAACGTTGGGTGTCCTTCATATCAACATGATTCTGAGTGAATTTTGAATTCACAAGTACGACGTGATGACGATGGCGGATGTACTCCCCTCTTAAAAATTAAAATGGTGCAATGAGATAGTGATGATAGGAACCGCCAACCCGACTAGCTACCAGAGACAAAATTCCCTTCTGTAATTAGAACCACACGATATAAATAACATGTGACTAGAAGCTTACCTTTATCGACTTCTGTGGCTTTTTCAGAGTCCTTTGAAGGCAGTGAACGCTTTAAAGTGGCTGCGAGCTTTGAGTTTGAAAATAGAGTGAAGTAAAAGTAGGTTATTTCCACAATAAGCGTTCGTTGACGGTGAAAAGAAACAGCATCAACTATTTTCGACGCTCTTACTTTAATGCATCAATACCTGAGTTCCTTACCTGTGTAAATTCTTGTTTCTCCTTTAAATTAATATTAGCTGATTCAGCATCATTGAGGGCACTGTCCTCTGAAGATCAATGAAAAAGTTTGAAGTAGTCAGTTTATCATTTTTTGTAATCGTTCATAGCAGAGACAGAATTAGACCGATTCAAGTGCAAGTTTACTTTACTGTGGACTGTGAAGTGTTACCTTTTTGAATCGATATTCTTTTTTCTCAGCTTATTTGTCTTACTCTTATTCCCTATATTATGGTAAAACATGCTTGGAGTACTAATATCTATTCTCTATAATGTCCTTTTCTCTTAAGTTATCAGTTCTCGAATTTCCAATTTTACCTTGTGTCCAGATCTCGTCCAAAGCATTCTTCATTCCATTTGTTTCCAAAGGCTCCTTGAAATAATGCAGTGATACAATAAGTTTTCTGATAGCAAAGCACTACAGATATCTCAAAGCGCTTATCATTTGTAAGAACTGGCCAGCCGTCAAGTCAATAAAAAAACTAAATTTTTTTTTTTACGAGAGTTTTGCTTGATTCCTACAATTATCTGATAATTAGATGAATTCATAGAGTCGACGAAGTGAACCGTATGGCCAGAAAATTCCAAGGTACAACGAACTTCTCTGGATGAATGGACCAGTGTAGCTGGTTGTGGCTTATGGTGAGCACCTATACTAAATTGACACAAATCAGCCTTCATTTCATTGTTTAAAACAGTTTGAATGTGTCGGTGCTTTAAAGAGAGATTACGCAAATCGTGGAACAGCCGGAATGCCCTTATTTTTGACCAATAACTCACGTTAGCTACTCTTAAAAATGATTTCCAAGAAATTCATGCTGGTATGTCGTCTCTTAGTCAACATGATCTTTCTGTTCTAGCCATTGCGTTGGATTGGCTCTATATCATTTTGTTCAGCAGATGATATAGTTTTTGTATGTAATTGTTACATGACTTAGGCTCTATAATTAATTTTCACATCAAAGACTGTGAAAGAGATATTTGAAGATACACTCATCTTAAAATAACGCAAACTGTAGCATATGCTTACTCTTTTAACGAAATTTGTACTTTGAGCTTTTTCTCTCAAAGCAAGCTCCTCTCCTGACCCTGACGCATGCGTCTCACCGTCTGCCAGCGCAGTGAACAAATTCTTAAGAGCAGCACCAGTCTTCCTTTCTCTTACTTGCGATTTGCTTTCTTTCTCACTGATCGGAAATTCTTCGGTGTTTCGCGGTAAACTGTGGATGATGTCCGACTTTCTCTCAATTTTGTTGTCCAGTGCGGCTTTAGCGATGTCATCCATGGTTTCAGTAATGACTTTCCCTCTTGTGTTGGCATGCTGATCAGCACTCCCTTCTCGTTCCCCTTCAGAGGAATCTTGTTCTTTGCTTTCAGTTTCCACAGTTGAATCTTCGTCATCATCATCATCTTTGGCGTCGCTTTCCCTCGGGATGAAGTTTCGCTTGTATTCGGCCTCGCTGGACTCGCCGGACTCGCCAGACTCGCCAGACTCGCCGGACTCGCCGGACTCGCCGGACTCGCCAGACTCGCCAGACTCACCGGACTCGCCAGACTCACCAGACTCACCGGACTCTTCGCGCTCACCGGATTCAGCCGAAGACTTAGGTAAATCTCCTGATCCAGATAAATCCTTTGATTCTGCAATAACAATGTGGCGGCCTGATATTTAACACTTCTGATTAAAATTGTTAAAACCACATCTTCAGTGCCATACCCGCAAACCTGCTGCTGAAACGTTTGGAATAAGTAGTTTATCTAATACAGAAATAGGCTCCAATTTTCAGTTTGTGGTAAGAGAATTGTCAGTAAATGAGGCAATATGTACATACCTTGCTGGTCTTTGGGTATATCACTTCGTTTGGCAATCCCTCCGTCAGCTGATTCACCACTTTCTCCACTCTCTCCACTCTCCCCACTCTCCCCGCTCTCCCCACTCTCCCCGCTTTCTCCACTCTCTCCACTCTCTCCACTTTCTCCGCTTTCTCCACTCTCTCCACTCTCCCCACTCTCCCCGCTCTCCCCACTCTCCCCGCTTTCTCCACTCTCTCCACTCTCTCCACTTTCTCCGCTTTCTCCACTCTCCCCACTCTCTCCGCTTTCTTCACTTTCTTCAGAATTTCCGTATTCTTCAAAATCTTCCACGTCTTCGTAATCTGGAATAACTGCAGCTGCGAAAACAAATGTTTCATGCGAGTTTGAGGAATATTCAGTGACACGAAGGGCTATTAGTACGTAGGATCAACGGTTCTTGTAGAGTGAGACAATTTGATCCAAACCAGCCCTAAAAAACTAACCCTAACCTTAATATTTTTCGGAATTCATGGACAGACTATAGAGATATCTCAAACAAAGATGAGAAATGTATGAACGTAATGAGCCTAAAATGCCATTGTACTAAAGGATCCTCATGATAAAAGCTTACATATGATTAGTTATCGTCGATGTACCCACCACTTTGTTCCTGTGGTATTTCGTTTCTTTTTGAGATCGCTGCTTCTCCGCTTTCATCCGATTCAGTGAAGTCCTCACTTTCACCGGATTCGTCACTCTCTTCAGACTCTTCGCTTTCACCAGATTCGCCGCTCTCTCCAGACTCCTCACTTTCACTAAATTCGCCACTCTCTCCAGACTCTGCACTTTCCCCCGATTCTGCACTCTCTCCAGAACCAGAATTGTCGGACTCGTCGGATTCCTCTGAATCTTCATCTTAAGCATGTCGAAATTATAACATATCAGAATAAAATTATCAGACACCATGAGATTGGAAGGGATATCTGATTGAATAGCCTCCATCAAAACTGCTTCAATGTAACAGTAGTTTTACACGTTGACTTTGACAACTACTTCATTTCACGATTGTAAACTAGACAAATTGAGCGCTTCTCGTCATGCAATCGCAAAAAGTTCATTGATACGTAAAACCCAAGCTGGTCGTAATTAACATTTTCATAAAAAAATTTTGTAAAGAAAGCAGAGAGAGCCGGTTCATTTTTACCTTCCTTCCTTTCTTCTGATGGTATCTCGCTTCGCTTTGATATTCCGCCTTCTCCAGACTCGCCCGAGGTTCCTGATTCACCGGATTCCTCGGACTCGTCACTATCGCTGGAAGTCTCTCCTGAAGCGCTAGAACCACTCAAGTCTATCAAAGATAAGTCACAAACTCAATTTTATGGTAAAAACTTCCAAGCAGAGATTTGACTCTCGGCAATTACGATAAGAAAACTTCGTCTGTGAGTAAGCGTGAGGGGATGTAAACTGGCGAAAAGTGTTCGTTTTATGAATTCACGATACTTATAAATATTCTCACATTGTACGGTTTGTACTGCCAACAAATATCTGACTTTGACACAAATTTGCAAAGAAGGCCTTACTCTGTCAATCCTTTATAATTGTTTACAACTCTCATTTTTAATAGGCATTTGAGTGAAATGATTTGTAATCTTGACCTTGGTGGTGGTTTTCCCCTTTCTAAGCTTAGTTTGGTATGTAAGAATTTATGGGTAGAAAAAAAAGTGTTCCGTTTGGTTGCACCTTTTTCAGCATCGCTGGTATCTCTTGAAATTGTATCTCTCTTAGTGATCTCGCTCTCTCCAGACTCCCCTGATTCTCCGCTTTCTCCTGATTCTCCACTTTGACCACTTTCTCCACTTTCCCCAGACTCTCCGCTTTCTCCACTTTCACCAGTTTCTCCGCTTTCCCCAGACTCTCCACTTTCTCCACTCTCCCCTGATTCTCCGCTTTCACTGCCCTCTCCAGATTCTTCTCCTGATTGGTCAGACTCTTTGGTTTGGTCCGATTTCTCAGTCTGTGCAATTTCAGCCGGTTGGCTGCTTTCTTTGGTTTCAGGAAGAACTTCAGACTTACTGGTTTCTTTGTCCGCTGATTGATCGGATAAACTGCCACTGCTAGATTTTTCAGCCGCCTTTGAAATCTCCTTTATTGCTGTTTTATCGTAAAAGGGAAGTTTAATAAAGCAACAGATATGGAAACTACTTATAACGTTTCGAATGCCATGGAAAGCGGCGCAATAAATAATGCAAAGGATTTACACCTAAATTTGTTAAAGGAATCATGAAATGATTGAGATTCTATGAGTTTCATAACCTGTAAGGTTTTGATCGAAAAGAACCTAGCGTCCCTTTGACTTTTACTCTGCTTTTTGCGCTGTTTCTTCTTAAGATCCTAGAAGATTTTCTTAGGCATTTTTCCCTATTAAGGGTCCATCGCTGACGATTTCGAAGAAGTAAACAACTCTGAATTACCTTTTTGTGTTTCCGTGGGAATTTCACTCCTTTTGGATACTGTTCCGTCACTTGCCTCACCAGATTCCTCAAAGTCTCCCGACTCGCCGGATTCTTCAAAATCGCCGGACTCACCGGATTCTTCAAAGTCGCCGGACTCACCGGATTCTTCAAAATCGCCGGATTCGCCTGATTCTTCAAAATCCCCCGATACACCTGATTCGACAGCATCGCCAGACTCCTCTGACGCACTTGACTCGTCGTTTTCTTTCGTATCTAAAAATTAAATTCACACCGATACTCGTTCCTAAGTGGTCTGTTGATGGTTGCCACTCGCCAGTTACTGTTATTACGATCTATATGGTCCCGTCTTTCTTACTTGTTGGCAAATAATAACATAAGGGGAATTTGATGATTTTTAACGTTAATATAGCCGGACACACGACCTAACATGTACAAGATATGAGATTTTGACCTTCTTTATTAGTTACACAGGATAAAGAACTTAAGTGCGTGGTTACCTTGCTCTTTAGGAATCTCATTTCGTTTGCTAATCGCCGATTCACCAGACTCTCCGGATTCCTCGTTATCTCCAGACTCTCCAGATGCAGCACTTTCTCCCCAGTCTCCAGATTCCCCACTCTCTCCACTCTCGTCAGACTCTCCGGAATCTTCCATTTCATCCGATTCAACCACCTCTTTGAATTCTCCAGAGGCACCGCTTTCCTCAGTATCTTCTTGTTTGCTTGATTCTGTAAAAAACACAAATTTATTAGAAGTGAGAGGTAGAACTGTATAAGGAGCTCATTTTTAGTCTTTACTATGTGTTACCCAACGACAATTTTGAAATACTATTTGTTTCTCTATCGAAAAGTTAAATGAAAAATCCATAAACCCAAAATACCCTACACGTTACGATAAAGCTGAAAAAAAATATAAATGGTTCTATGGTATCACAAACGGAACCATTATGATTTTTACCTAAGTTCATGAATTTATATTTATGAATACTAGGCATTGGTTTTTACCTTATATTCTTACAAACTTTACCTTTATCTTCCTTTGGAATTTCATTTCTCTTCACCACATCTGACTCAGCATCAGATTCCACAGAATCACCGCTTTCTCCTGATTCACCAGACTCCTCGCTGTCCCCCGATTCTCCCGACTCTCCGCTTTCTCCTGACTCATCACCGTATCCTGATTCTCCAGATTCTCCGCTTTCTCCTGACTCAGCAGCGTGTCCTGATTCACCAGATGCCCCACTCTCTCCTGATTCACCAGACTCATCAGAGTCACCAGACTCTCCTGATTCGCCAAATTCTCCTGAAGCTGAACTTTCGTCGTCCGATTCTGACGTTGCTGTCTCATCTTCAACCTTCTTTGGTTCTTTTTCTTGAGTTTGGTCAGAGGAAACTTCGGTGGATTCCATGGGTGTTGTTGGTTTGTTTCCATCTGACTCTCCCTGGCTAGAATCACCGGATTCTTCGGAATCCTCGGAGTCACCAGATTCCGATGTGGAACCAGACCCATCCATTTCCTCTTCGTCATCATCATCGTCATTGTATTTGGCATTACCTAAATTTCAGAAAATGATATTGGTGATGGTTACATTTAGAAACGCTTGTGTCGTCTGGTCAACCTGAGTGGGTGTTATACTAAGAATTTTAAGAATTACGTTAACATATAGCAGTCAAGAAGTCGGGATATGATTTATGGAAATAGCGATATAATCTCCATACAGATACACTTTGGTGAAAAAGAATTTCTCTTTTTGCTTGTCGTTTTACTTTGATTCTGTCTTGAAGATATCTTGCAAAGGTTCTTCAGCAACGCAATACATTAAAGTTTGCAGTTTATCTCAATAACCTGACTGTAGTACCTTCTTCAAATACTTCTGTTGGGATGACGTTTCTTTTTACAGCCACACCAGATGATTCTACGTCTTTTGCGGACGCAGAGGCTTCATTTGTGTCTTCAGCTTCGTCGGATGATGCACTTTCTCCGGATCCGCTTGAAGGCGCGTCCGTTGACTGGTTTGACTTCCTTGACTCAGCAGTTTCTCTCCTTTCTGACGACTCATCGTCGCCCGGTTTAAAAATTTTCGGAATGTCACTTCTTTTGGAATATTCTATAAGGATAAGAATGATACAAAGTTGAAGCCATTTACTATGTACTTTAATATAAACAGTCACGCCTCTGTATGGGACTGTCTGTGGTATAATACAATACCTGGGATATTGATTGGTTTTGCAAGCTGTATAATATGATTGCACATACCACGTTCGACAAAGATGATGCGTGCGCGTATTTTTTTGCAATGCTTTTACCAGTATATATTTCATGAGGTATTTTATGAAATAGTTTCAACTAACGCAAACTCATAGAATAAGTGAAGAGTTTTGTTAATTCATCACACAAGGAAAAGAATAACATTCGCATGTGTAATACCTGTGTTTTCTCCTTCTGAGGCTACCGACTCTTCGGATTCTTTCTCGGGCTCTGAATCTTCTGAATCTCCTGAGGTTAATGGCTGATTCTCGCCCGATAGTTCACTTTCAGAGGTCTCTGCCTTTGCATCCTCTGCTTGTTCTTTGGGTTCAGTCTCGTAAACTGAATGTTCCTCTAATTTTTTTTCTACCGGAATAAAACTCCTTCTTTTCTTTGTAAGATATTGCTTGTCACTAATTTCATCATTGGTTTCTACATTGCTTGTGCCAGGTATTAGGCTACTTACTGTGCTGGACAACTTTTCCGACTCATCTTCCTCATTATCTTGAAATAGAGCAAATAATATCGGTTAAAACAGGAATCATTCCTTGGTTAAATCTTGTTACCTTTGAAATTGTTGAAGACATAGTGGCCTCACGGTCAGTGGACCGGACTCCATGTCCAGAGGGGTCCGTGTCAGCTAGACCTGTCTGGATCAATGTATTATGCTTTTGGGCAAAAAATTTACTCATGTCTTAGTGCCTCTCCGGCCGGGCTCCACCCAGGAGTGTTAATGAGCGACTTTGAAGGGAAGTCTGATGAAATACTGGCTGGCTGGCATTTTTTTACTACCTTTGAAACTATACAACGAAGGGGAAAAGTTACAGCATAACCATTTCCAGGGCCGTAGCTAACATGAGGCAGGACGAGGCTATTGCCTCTTCTTGATTTTGTCCCAAGATTGACTTTTCTGAAGAAAAATGCCATAGGAAATGCTTAAAAAAGCATTTCTGAGCCTCTAGATTTCAAAATTTTCTGGTGGAGCATGTCCCCAGACCCCCCTAGCGGCTCGCGCCTTCGGCACCCGAAATTTGCCTCGTCTTGTTCTGAATTCTGGCTACGGCCCTTATTTAATCTGCTTCTATACTGAGGAGCTTGTGATTGTCTTTTTATCCACTATGCATTACTAAAAAGAGAGCGGCTTCCGTTCATAACTTATTAAAATTTGAAGCTGTAGCAGTCCTTGAAGAAAAAAAGATTTCTAAAAAGGTTTTCTATCCAAGGAGAGTAAGGTCATGAAATATTACCTGGTATTTCCGAACGGCGCGTCTTGTCCCCGTCCAGAATTGCGTCCACTATTGCAGAAATTATTGTTCTAACTGTGGATGAAAGCGGAATTTTTAGAGTAATGAGCTTCATTTTGACGCGACTTCCATTAACAATTGATTAACAATCTTTCATACCTTCTTTGTCGGCTTCTAGGTCATCTGCATCTCTTTTATCTCTCCCTGTTGGCGAAAGATAAGAGTGCTTGTTTATGGAGGATATCAATATTTTTGGTCATAATAGCTTAATATGCAAACAAAAAGTCTTTGTAGAAAAACATGGTTCGAATTATTGAGTGGCTCAACCAGTACAATGTATCTAAGCTCGAAATGATGAACTGTATTCTGTTCTCTTGGACGACGGTAGTCTTGGAATCGACTTTCATTGGTGACAATGGTAACTGAGCGGAACTCGACATCAGAGTCAAATTCTGGCTCTATACTTGATACCTCCCCTTTCAGCAGATTACAACTTCAATAAAATGCACCACTTTCGGGAAATTGAATAGTTAAATTCAGAAATGATACCTGATGATTTCACTATATGTTTCCTCGTTTATGACGTGAGTTTTTTTTTCTTTTTACTGTACTGACGTTCAATTGTGAAAGTCTAATTAAAAAATAATATAACAAGTAGCTGAATTCACAGAATTTGAATATTCGCGAAGCAGTTACACCATATTTAACACGGTTTCGCAGTTTATTCGCCACCCGAAGTCTACAACGTCCAATCGCTGACGTACATGTAAGTTTTATAATACGTCGCTAAAACCCTGTTTTAAAATTTTTCCTTTTACAGATATTAACACCTTTGCCTAAGTCTTAAAAAAGAATAATTGTCTTCGTGTAGGTTATGTGATTATGGAATTAATTCCGCAAAAACTGAATGAATTACAAAAACTGATCCACCCTCTTTTGGATGGTGTTCAATTTTTAAAGGTCATTTGCAAGGCAGGCCCTTCAGGGTGAAATCTTAACAGAGACCGAACCACGAGTAATTTTAACAAAGTTATCAGTAGTAATAGTTATTATTATGGCAATTTCATTTCACATAAACTAACCCATTTTTCACCGAATATTCTAAACCTTCGAGATTCAGCTATCTTTTCGAAGGAAATGCAAAACAGTTTTGCCTGAAGAGGAAGACCAACTCAGTTACAGTATTCTGCAGAATTTTTCTGATTTAAAATTTGTTAACATTCGCTCCTGTATCGCTTTAATAGCGTTTTTAAACTTAAACGGAAGCAAAGGTGGCGCGATGTACATTTAGCAATTAATTTTCCTTCTTTCCATGTAGCGTACGTAATTGTTCCAAATGTCATTTTCACAAAAGATCTCAAATGGATTATTAAAAGAAATTTAGTGCAAGTCTTTAATTGAGTCAAAACTGGTGTAGCTGTAATTCTTTGTTGTTTTGTCATCCGCAACACTCCAGGAAAGACTTTGCTATAGGTGATGTATTTGCGAATTGAATAAAGAGGATAAGTTTCTGAAGAAATATGACGCTAAGTCGGTGGGGGTAGGGGTCAGGGTTATTTCGAGATAGTTTCGCTTTGTTAACTGAGTTCATGTGAATTGGTCGCAGTAAAGAGCTTCTAAAGCTGAGGTTTCGTGCGTTTGGGCAAATTGGCCTGAAAACACATTACGCTGTGCACGACACACGTTCACTCTGAATTTAGCATCAGACTTTCCCTCCACGTACACCTAATAAGAAAAAGTACCGTATGAAGGTTTTAACAACCACCCTGACATTAACCGTTTCATTATTATGAGCCTCCTTTTCACTAATGTTGGTAATTGAAAAACTCTGAAGTAAGAAGAAAGGTTAACGTTTAAGCGGGAAAGGGTATTACGACAAAACTTGACTCAGGTCTTATATTCATTAGTCAAAAGCCCCTCGGGTTGTAAAAGCATGTATTGCAGGTTTCTCGTCAAACGCAGACAGTCTGCATATGCAATTACAACCGAGTTCTTCACAGTTTTCATGGTTGAATTGATTCGTTTTGGATATAGTCTAGTTTGAGACTAAAACGTCTTCTTTGTGGAAATGTGATTTAATTTTATCAACTCAGAGTTTATAGTGTAAATTGGCCGCCGTAAAGAGTTTCTAAAGCGGACGTTTGGAGCGTTAGACCTTCGTCAAATATGCTTACTTCTCTTTTAATATAAAGCCGACGTTCCTAAATCTAGATTTATAAATAAATAAATGGTGACGCTCTCCAAAACGAACTGTTATCGAAAGGGATTTAAAACGGCAAAAGCTTAAAGGCCAGAGGAGAATATTTATGCCATTTATGTATGACGAGCCGAGACATTACACTACGGTTTTTTGGGACATGATCCACCTGAAATCACAGAGACAGTGACCCATGGAATTACCACCTAAGGTGAAACTATCTGCCGCTTGCCCGTGTCATATGTCGCAAATCATGACTGACTCTACGCCAACGCGCTTTGAAATTAAATAATCCTATCATAACGTGTATGATCGTCAAACATAAATTTAAGAAAAGTAGTCTAAACACGAAAACACCAAAACGTTTTTGTGAATATGGGATAAACCTTGCTATAGATTGCAGGTTTTCCAGTAAATATCCTATCCGTCTCAAATAAGTCAATGCGTAATTCCCGAGATCTCTATGATCATTTTGAATAGTAATTTTCAGCTTTAGTTTAGTTTAGTTCTTTGCTTGTTGAAAATACTCTTTGAGAGTTAAATTTTGGCCCCTAAGTTTACAGTGATGGGAAGTCACCGATGCGGAAAAGAGAGTACGTTAAGAAGGGTAATTTCAGTAAATGTTGTGCAACCCTGAAATCCATTATCTTGCCTAAATCGTAAATACATTTCAGAAATAAATTTGAAATCACTTCAAATGCACTTCAGACATTCCAGTCGAACCTCTTCAAATATTTTAAGTCACTTTATCTCAATTTCTATTTCCGAACACGGCAAGTTACATATTTAATGAACTCAACAATCACAACTAATTGAATAAAGCCAGGCTTTGAGCTTTTACCGAATACATCAGTTCGTTAAAAAATACCCAAAAGATAGATGATCTGTTAGTTTGATCACTCAAAACAAATCGATCATTAGAGGGCTAGGGGAATCAAGGATTTTATGGCCACCATACAATCGCGACCAACTTGTTTTGAGTTCGATCTCTGATCTTACCAAAAATATTGAAAATAAGACGCGTACTTACGTGAAATCGGCGACGCCTGAGATAACCATGCCAGGCAAAGTATAAGAAGCACCCTAAATTTCATCTCAAATGAGATAAGGCCGTCCTCAGACGACAAAAACCAAAGCGAAATATTCAGATATTTCTCTCTTACATTTACCAGTCAAAAGCTATCTCAGAATTTTAAATCAGCCAGAGATTGGCTTTTGGCGGACCACCCGCAGCAGACTACGATGGAAGCCTGGACCTGTACCTACTTCGCCAATGACTTCATAGGTTGAGAGAAGGGTCGGAAAGCGTCGTGGCGCTAACCAATCAGAGCTCCGATCGTCTACCTGGTCCATATTTGGAAGTTGAGGCCACGCTTGACTTGCAAACAATTAAAGCGTGCACCAACGGTATTTGTTTATGAACGAAACGGATAAAGCGTGAAGTTTTAACATAACTTAGAAACAAAAAGTGCGTCGCGTTGTTACGCCAACGAAATCATTAATCAAACAAATAGCGCCATTGTTTTCTATTGCTAGGTGGAACGAATTAGAGTTACCTGGAGGGTTTTAGTTTAGTACAACTTTGAAAGTACATCTTAGACATTTAATGTGCAAATATTGCACTACTTATCCAACAGCGAGATCTCGCGATATCACGCGGGAAACTGGTACCCGCCAAAACTTCATGGTTTTCTCTGCGACTGGTGGTACATTTTTATTATGTCATTTATACAAAGCATTACCGTACGGTTTTTGGTCTTTAAAACTTTAAGACGTGCCAGTGATGTAATATCGAATCAAATTTTGTCAGAAAAATTCCGATGTTTGAAATCTTTATTGCAAAAAGTTGATTAGAAAGAAACAACCGAACTAACAGGAATCTTTTTAAATTATCTTAATGGACAATAAATCACAGAAAGAATGGTTTAGTGTCTGAGTAATCAAGCGTTTGAAGTGAAAACTTTTGAAGTATATTGAAGTGTTACAGCACTCAAAGCTGTTAACACATGCCATAAGCTGAGAGCATTGAATGGTCAATAGTTATTGGCAAAAGAAAGATTTTAGCAGAATGCAAGTTTATGATACAACTTCGAGATAAAGAAATCACCCACTTTCTATAACGCGAAACATTATTTCACTGATATTTTGTACTTGTTGAGGAAGAAAATCAAGCACTAACTCTATACACGAGTTACAAAATAATTTGAGAAGGAATGCGCGAGAGCGTTCAAAATGAAGTGAACGAGTGCGATGTTTATAATTTTCGTTTAAAGGACGCGAGATGTTAATATTACAACATTGAGTTTGGTATCAACCAGTGCTGAATAGCAAAAGACGATGAAAAGTCTTGATATCTAACAGGGATCAGTTTTTTTTGTGAGTCCACATGGTTAAATTGAAAACAAAAGCTTTGGATGAGAATGCACTTGAAGATAAGAGGCCCTAATTTGTGAAAGTAAAGTTCAAATTGACTTACTTTTTCAGACTCTATAAGCGAGAGACAGTTCACTAATTAGTTTACGTAATTTATTATGTAAGGCAACAGCTTTACTTATGTCCACAAGCACCAAATCTTAACTTGATATCTCTTCATTTTATCATCCTCCAATCCTTTGCGATCATTGCGATTTTAAAAAACTTTGGGGTTCCATGGGAAGGTTATCTGTCCTGGAAATACTTCGCTGATACTTCTGGCTCAAGCCGTTTGGGTAAACATCAATTAAATGGCAAAGCAAACAAAAAACAAACATAGTAAAACAAACAGTCTACCAATAGTAAACTAACTAACGAGGACTTGAAACAAAACTTGACGTAAAAATGTAGGAATCTTATTCTGTTCTGTATTTTAGATTATGATCATTATTATATAATCCTTCATAGTTTAAAGTGTTTTTTTGCTAGAAACGTTTTGTCTGTTATATAAACTCAAGGGGTCACAATTGTGAGCGTGTATTTCTGATCATCGGACGTGACTTCGAGCTCAGCTTTTTCCTCTTGAGTTGAAATATAATATCGCAGCGAGCCCTCGTGGACCACTGAAATGATGCATATATAACAGTTCGATTCTAATCAATACCTGCAACAACGAAACAAAAAAAGTTAGCATCTTCTTCGAGTGAACTACAAAAAGGAAAGAAAAATATAATCTGTTTTTCAATAAAATATAGTTTAATCAGTGAAATTGAGAATTTGGAACTAAATAAGCAATAGCTTCTATTTGGCGCTAAAAAACGTACGGATATTTGTTCGCAGGCTTTATCTGTTCAACTTGAAGATGCGAACAGTTTTTCGAGAGCAAAGCTCGAGGAAAACTGTGAGCTTGGAGGAACAGATAATGTCCAAGGAAAAATATCCGTATACATTCTCGCGCAAAACAGAGGCTATTGAGTTTATTGTCCTTCAAACGCTGTTTCAATATATGCGGAGGATTATGCAAAGGTTACTGGGTTTTATGAATAATATAAAAGAGGTAATGAATGAGTATTCGTAAAATAAGCTTCAATTTGCGATGTCAGGATTGTAGCCATAAGGTTGGATACAAGAATTCATTCTAGTTTGTGTGGTATAAAGCGACTAGAGTACCATGTTTACTCGAGTACGCGCAGCGGCTCTTCTATAATTTTTGCGTCTCAAGTGAGGTGCGTGTTCGAGGAAGGTGCTCATTCAAAAATTGAACGTGACGAAGAAATATGTCCCCTTGATTTAAAGGATATTTTCTATCTTTACGTCAAATTTACAATGAAGAAATGTAAAATGGTTTCCGTGTTTACATAACCTGATGTAAACACGCGGGAGGTTGGGAGAACACGAGATAAGCGAAGCGGAGTGGTTTCCAGCTTATCGAGTGTTCTCCCAACCTCCCAAGTAAAATAAAATAAAATAAAAGTAAAAAAATAATGATAAAAATAAATAAATAAAAATAAAAAATAAAAAATAAAAAAAAGATCATAAAATAACTAATGAAAGAGGAACGAAAACCGTGTTTACATACACTCATGTAAAATGGTTTTATGGCCAATCAGAGCGCGCGTACTATTTGAATTATTTTATAATAAATAACAGAGGCGTCTTTTGATTATCACCATTCATCCCTTCTGGCACTTTTTAACTGCATTACCTGTGGTGTCTTAACTCAACTTCTGAACTTTTCTTGATCCAAGAGTACGAGGGTACGCCTCTTGCACGTCTGAATCGGTGCATATTTCAATCTCGTCCCCTCAGAATATCTAAATGTGAATGAATCATTGAATCTTGCGCATGACTTCTTCGAATAAGCGCCGCACCGGGGCTACGGCACTTATTCGAAGGCGGCGCCTTTCAACTTTTCTGCCCCGAATGCGGCGCTTATTCGCGGCGGGTGGTGCTCATTCGAGTAGTACAGTATTGCAACTTCCACTGAGTTTTGAGTTAGCCTATCACATTTTACCCTCACCAGGTCTCTGACATTTTGTAGGTTTCACTATAGACTCCTGGGAAGGAGACGCTCGGTGACAGCGACGTGTCCTCCTTTTAGCTGCACCAGCCTTCTGTCATTTTCATTCAACATTTGGTAGAGTTAATGGGTGATGGCTTTTATGGCTAACGGTTAAAAGTTTGGCCAATTTACGGCTAACGGTTGCTATCATTCCATTGTTGTCACCAAAAATTTTTTTATGGTTAACTTTTTTTTACGACTATCGGTCCAAATTTGTCAATTTTTATTCCTAACGGCTATCTTTTTTGGCCATTTTACGGTTAATGGTTAACCCCATTGAGACCCTGTTGATGGCTTATGAAATAGGGAACATTATTTGCGGTTTCCAGACAAATAGAGGTAAGCACGAAGCCTTTTCGCTTACCGTGTGCTTCCTTCCGATTGACTGAAAATGCGAAAATAAACGATGCATGGTTTGCAGACTGAACATTTTGTTCGATCCGTTTAATACTTTAGAGAAGCAATAGATTACAAAAAATAAAGATATCGATCGTCTTGGGTGACGCTGTTTCCTCAGCGACAACATGACCAATAACTGTCCTTTTTTTATAGAGCTCATCGCCGGCTCTAAAAAGTTACGGACTGAAAACGAAGAAATAAACACTCTGATTTCGACCGTATAAGTGACTTTAAAATCCAAAAGGGGACTCAGCTCAGTTCCACGCGGCCGTGGCCACTTTCTCCCTTTTCCTTTCCTCGGTCTCCATGATGGTATTTATAAGTTGATTCATCTTTCTTGGGCAATTACAATTCATTGTAAAACAAACTTAGCGAAAAGAATTGTTTATTATTTCAAAAATTTGATGTTGTGCTCTGATAACTGGAAGCAAATGATCATCCTTACGCAATTTTAAGTATGAAAATGTGGACTACATTTTATTGTTGTATGTAATACTTAATTACAACAAAGCTATCATCCTACGCCTTTTTAATTTGCGTGAAAAGGTTCTTTATATAGTTTTCTCAATGTGGCATGCAATTGTTGTAAATACTACGTCCTAAATTAAATACTACGTCCTTGAATTATGAATGAAAGGACAGCTTGTGATAATGGCTTTTCCCTGGTTAATTTTACAACCAATTTAAGTGCACAAAAAAAAGGTCGTTTTTGCCGCCATGTTTCATTTAATTAAAACTTCTGTTCTAGATTGAAAATTGTTCCCCATCGTCAGAAATGTACACCATCTGGACCAATTACGTGCTTGCACTGTTAGACACGTATTCTGGCAGGAGGTATGGATATGGCAGAAAACCTTCCTTTACTCGCTTATCGTTGGCTTTGGTTATCTCTTGGCCTACATTCTTGAGTTCGTCGTGAAACTTTTCAACTACTTCTCTGCCTTTGTTACCTTCAATCTTTGTTGAATAATCGAGTAACTGATCGAGGTGAATTCCTGCCAGGTTAGAACTTAGTTCGGCTATTTCCTGTCACAGTAGAAAAGGTTATGATAGGTAAGATGAGAAAAAAACTTATAAGCTGTCAAAAGGCGGGCTACTTTTATAACTGAAATCAAATTATACCCACCGTGCGTAAGAGGTTATATTTGTCTAAATGAAACTCAGGAAAGCGAGTTTTACGAGGTCGAGCGGGCCAATTTTGGGCCACTATTCTCTAATTTAACCATTTTTTACCATTAACGAAATTACGACTTTTAGCCGCAATGTCGTCAATTCATCACATTTTTGAAATTGAGAGGTCTCTTCATCGATAAGTACTTCTTGATGATCATTATTACCACAGATTGCCGTGCAGTGAGTCATAGGGAGCTGCAAAAAATCACTGCCACCTGTCCATATTGCGCACAAAGGTTTCGAAATGCTTATTGGATTATTATTAATGAAAAAATCGATGACCAGCTGGTAAATTAATGACGTTAGTAAAAGAGTGAGGCTTATCAGCTTTGGCGCATAATTAGCCAACAAATTGCTCTGAAAGCGAAACCTCTAAACTTTGCTCACCGAATTGGAGCCCGTAATAATGTTACAATTTTTTACCCAAAGTCGATTATTACCAGTGCTACAGCTTTGTTTCCAAACATCAAATTGCTGAATTCGGTATTGCCGTTACTATCTGCAAACAGTCTGTGCGGTGCATTTGGTACAAAGCCACCGTACTCCAGTATAGGGTAGGTACTTGCTGCGTGGCCGCCAGTGAACGCCCAAAAAAGGGTGGTTAACACTTGTCTTAGGGCAGCTTTGGTTTTGATGCTGGCTGGGAATTTCTTTACCTTCAAAGAAAAAAGTGATGGTAAAAGAAAATGTTCTACAGAACCAAATTGATGATAATTGAGAACTGATCGGAAAACCATAATAGTAGTTTGTAAGAGGAAATCCCTCTTTTCTAGGCTTGCTCAAAAATAAAGATCGCGTTTCTGCATAAAGTGCCACAGCATATTTGTTACCTTGCCAAGTCCTGCAAAATCACCATGTGTACCATCAGCTGACAACTCATTTGCAAACTCTTGAAGCTCGTTATCTGCTAACACCTGGTCGTCATCTTCGTACTGCCTACAAGATCCACACGAGAAACAGTGTGATGAGACAAAATGGAGCGATCAGGAAATTACTCTTTCTCCTTCATACATGATTTTTTCACCAGGCGAATTTACGGTACCTCGACATTGGAAAGTAGGGAAGTAGGGTATATGACTTTCTCATTGGTTCAGGGGGGAAAGTCCTGTTTCGAGAGAATTGACGCGACTTCCTCCTTTCTAAATTAAAAGTTGTTAAATCAGACTCTGTTACGTCTCGTGTGAACATTTAAAATAATTTTAGGTTGGCAGGTAATTTAGGTTGGTTTCCATCTTCGAGAGGTAGTGGTGCCTGCTTGAAAATCATACGCAATACAGGGAATGTCTTCTTGTGGAGCGTATTCCACCTAATTTACTTAAAAGTAAGGAAAGGAGTGCATATTCACTTACGCGTCAATGTAGGCGTCAACAAATTCACTAAGTTTTTGATACAAAATCTTTCCGTCATCTCTGTACGGATAATATGGAAGCTTCTCTACGTCATCGACTCCTCGTTTCTGTTAGAAGAAAAAAAAGGCAGTCAATTTTAGATTTAGGAAAACTTGTAGGAAAAAGGTTTAACGGTTAACCTTTTTCATGACTAACGGTAAAAACATGACAGGTTATACGCATGTCGGCTAAATTTTTTGGTTGTTTCGTTGCGAAACGCTCTGACGAAGGGCTAACGCTCAAAACGTCAGCTTTGAAACTCCTTACGATGGCCAATTTACATTATCAACTCAGTTGATAAAACCAGATTATCTTGTAGCGCCCGAAACATTAGCTTAGAAATTCTAGACGGTGGTCAATTTACATTTTCAACTCAGCTATTATGACCAAACTATCTTTTTATACCCCCCCCCTCCTTCTACCGACGCAGCACCACAGTTTCTTTAGAAGCTTACCCCCTTTTATCTATGTAAAGGTTGTTACATAGATATATAGACAGCTCTACCGGCCGGAAGAAAGACATATTTTTGATACAAAACTGAGCTCTGTTAATAAAATTACTCAGCCTTAGACTTTATCATACTTTCAGATTTTATGGTGAACATTTGTTTCAAGGGTAGTTAGATTTAAGCTTGCAGCAGATCTCTACAATCCAAGTAATAAATTTTCGTTTTCTAGTCGAAATATACTTTTTCATGACCTTGCAAAACGTGACAATATGCTCAAGAAAACGAATGCATATTTTAGTGGCATGCACCAAACTAACCTTGAGGTCTTCTAGTAAATCTAAGTCATCAAAAGTCATTCGTTCGTATTCTTTGTTTACAATTTCAAGAGCACTAGAATAGTCAACACTTAGAACCTTGTATATTGGACCACTTCTTCCTGTTGTAGGAAAAATGCATAGATACCGTCAGAAATAAAGCTATCAAGCGTGCGAAAGGCTGATAGTGTAAAATGGATTATATCCATATCCCCCATATGTGACAGCCCCATGTTGGCACGGTAATCCTAATTATCAACGGTAGTTAGTGAATCAATCATCAATCCTTCAATATATAGATCATGAAATCGATGCATCACAGAATTTATAAATCAGTCAATCAATCAATCAATGAGCCAATTAGTGAATGAAAGAATGAATTAGTGAATAAATGGATATGAATTGAACTATGAACGAAAGACGACAACATTAAAACGATGTTTTTGAAGCTACAATATTTTGGGTTTTTGTTTAGGGGAAAATATGAAGTTGATTAAAATTTGAATGATGAAGAAAAATAATAATAATGCCGATAACACAATGAAGATTGAATATGGTTTTTACATCATTTCCAAAAGGTTCATGTTTGATTTTAATTGGGTAACACTCTTACCAAACAGTTTGATTTCAAACAGCTTATTGGTCTCCAAAGCAGCTCGACAGTGCTGTCGCACAACCTGATAGATAGGATGGTACTCTGAGAAGTATTTCTCAACCAAAGTACACGGCGCATCGAGATACAAATGAACCTTGAGTCGCTTCCTTATGAGATGCAAGGAATTGTAATCTGCTCTTTGTACAAATGACTTAGCTAAGAACCAGTCCTTTCCGTAAATTGGAGTGTAAACTTTCGCCTCTAGCTTCGAGTCCATTTGAATAGCCACGGGATTTAGGCGCTTTATTCCAAGCTCGTCTTTTGTGACGACGAAGAAAGCAATCGGTGAAGTCATTTGTAAAACAGTATGGTTGAATTTAACGTCACGTAAAAGTGCCTCGGGCATTTTAACTCCGTCTAGTTCTGGGTAAATGTTAACGTAAACATCACCATTGTCTATAGCCTATTGGAGATAAAAGAACACCCATCAATGGCACTATTCGGTAACTTGCTTGACTTGAAAGTTTACCAGAAACTCAGCTGGGTATCACATGTACTGGAAACCAAAAAGAGCCTTGCTAAAAAACTGAACTTAGTCAGTTGGCCAGTGATGCAGTGAGTTTCATAGTTTGTTTGCAAATCAGTTAGTCAGCCTTCATTCGGCTATGGTGTCAGTCAGACAGTCGGTCAAACAGTCCTTCAGTCAGTCAGTCAATGGTTCAATTGATCAGTTCATTTGATCAAGTACGGTTGTTTTGTACCTTCACATTTCTTACCTGCTCTAGAGAATCTTGGTTGTCAAGAGCTGCTTTTAACATCGACTCCCAGTCAAAATCTTTATTCAGTTTCTCTTCAAAAAGAGACTTCCATTCGACGCCGTTACCCCCTGATGATGAGAAAACAATTGGAAAGAATTTTCATTAACGTTTAGATGTGTTCATGTCCACTAGTAAAGTCGCATGAGCATGAAAAGCCTAATATTATTTAAAAGCCCATGTTATTTTCATATCATTGTGAGTTTTCACTCCCCGGGGCATGTTCCTGTGTGGATTCAGGATGGAAGGGCTAAAGCTTATGGAAGGTACCTCCAATAATGGTGAAACACTAATTTAGATTTGGTTTATCAATGCGGACAGCCTTGCATGTAATAGCTAATTTGGAAGTTTCACAATTGTAAATTAAAAGAAGGTAAATCGAAGGGACTTCCGGTCGAAGGAAGTTGATAAATTTAGCAACGTCTGTTTGTTGTTTATCTCTCAGGCCAGCATAACTGCAGCACGATGTCTCAGTCTTCGCAAGCATGTTTAGCCGAGGAAATATCATAAACCAGTGAAGTGATTTACCTTTTTCATTTGTTACTCGCCAAAGTTGAAATGGATTAGCGCCTGCAACCCGCTGATCTGCAAAGCAGCGATCTTTAAAGAAATTTTCTTCAATAGCCGGCACAAGTTTCAAAGAGCTCATAGCACTTCGTTTCTACACAGGACATGAAACGAAAGCCATAATGATTAAACTAGAAAGTGAAATGAATTAAAGATTATTCCTGTGTTATCTTGCCTTCTATAAGGAGATAGCACTACAAGAGTTGAGCCATATTAAGATTCATTGATTGTCGAATTATGTCACTGGAGTTCTTCTTTTTTTTGTCTTTTGTTTCTCGCTGCATTTGTCGTAATACTTGTCTGTCTTATTTTGCGATCAAAGTGGGCAATATTTGAGCCCTCTAAGGAAGGCAAGCATGGCATAAATCTGGATCAGCAACCCGCCTAAGTATTACAATGTCTTACCCTGTGTTCTTTGTAGAACGTCAGAAATACGATGGCAAAATCAATAAGCGTCGGCGTTTGGTGAAATCGAGGATCTTTTAACGTAAAGTGCGACTCCAGATCTCTATTGACATCTGCGTTATCGGTCATCTTCATGTACCATTCAATTGTGAAAGGATCCGTAGACGCGCTTTGTACAAAGCTCGCTGCTCCTTTCTTGGAAAGAGTAGGTACCAACAGGTGCTCTGATCTGCTTAAGGAATTTAACATCTAATTACAAAATAATTCTAACACTGCTTGGAATAATGAAGAATCATTCTTCCATTTTCAGCCAAATGATAAGGTTGGTTCAAATAAAATTTATTCGTAGATGAATGAGGAAAAAATAAACTTAAATTTCGCTCCCTTAGCAAAGCGTGCAAGAGAGTAGGCGTCTTAAATTAATTCACAACAACTCATTTGGAACTAGGTTAATGAGGAAATTTCTTTAACCTCCAGCGCTTTGGGCCGCGGTTAGGGATTAAAGTCAGAATAGGAGTGTTGCTCCCATTCTCTTGATGACTTACTTGGAATAGTCACTGTCTTTATCCGAGGTCAATCGAATCAAAGTTTTCTTGATTTGTCGGCTGAGTTCTCGTTTCACGACACAATGAGGAGACGAAAATTGTGGCAGAGATATTCGGCATTGTAGCTCTGTCGATTATGGAAAGAAAAATAGCAGTTAATTTGAAAGCAACGTCATTTTGATTCATTTTATAATTATTTATTTTAAGGGCTTGTACCTCTAAATCTCTCATCCACCTGTCAACCTAAATTCAGTTGATAATGTAAATTGGCCACCTTTAGGCGTTAGTCCTTGTCAGAGCGAAGGGCACTCACTCACTCGCTTGAAATTCTTAACGGTGGCCAATTTACGTTATCAACTCAGTTGATAATACCAAATTACCTCGTTATACTCTCCCACTGAAGCACCACCACAGTTTCTTTGGAAACTTACCCCCTTTATTCAGTTTGTATAGGACGTTTGTCTCGTGTGAACCCTTTCACTCCCAAGATCTCACATTACTAATTATCCTTACTGTCTGCCATACGATTTGCACGACATAAGCTCAGAGAAATAGGTATCGGTTCAACTAATAATCTCTTAATTGATATTTTTCTTGATTCTCATTAATTGCCTGCTTGATATCGTTTTGATATAATGCGGAGAAATTCTGTCTTGGTCTGTCGTGGGAGTTAAGGGATATTTACCTGGCTCACGATTAAATTCTATTTAGCTCAGTGGTATGTGTTCTGCGGCATTTGTCATAACCTACGTGTCTTGTAATAATGGTTGCGGCATTTTGTAATAACTTGCGCATTATGTAATAGGTACTGCAGCATTTTGTAATAAAGGCGACCTACGCATTTTGTAATGTTGCAGGATTTTGTAATGCCGCCGCAGTTTGTCGGTCTAAAGAATTTTTAACAACCCCTTGACGTTAATTGTAATAATATCAACTTTGTCACAAAAACATACAAACAAGTTAGGAAAAATGGTATGACTAGCATAATATAAACAGTGAAACGAATGTGTGAATTTATGCTGCCATGTGTTTGTTAAACTAACCGTTGCATGTTATCCCACCAAAATCTTCTTCACATTCACATTTGTATCCATCAATAAGATCGTAGTTAACAACACAGGTGCCTCCGTTTTGGCACGGGTTTGGCTCACACTTGTCATCGTTAGTTTTTGTCTCAGGTGAGTCTTTTTCGCCGCTTCCCGGAAATTCCCCACTAAAGCTGTCATCTTGCAATAAAGATAAAGGGCTTGCTTTGAACAACTAAAAGTCACTGGAAGACACTAGTTCACATGTTGCGAACCAAACAATCATTACTGCTGATGTTTGCGGTACCAATTAATACTCCTGGATGAATAGAGGCACTATCAGGGTAAAGCACATTTCCTTAGAGCACAGAACAATGACCCAGCCAATGGTCAAACCAACACCGCTCGACCTTAAGTCCATCGTGGTGATCTCTAAACCATCTCTTCTCCCACCAAGTAACTAACAACTCAAATTTTTTCAGGAAATGTTTGCCCGTATAAACTAAACTCGACTATAAAGCGCTTACAAATGATAAAAAAGATATAGGGAGACAAATGTTTCAAGTAAAAGAACTTCTCGACGACATTCCTGAATTCAGGACTCCAGCAGATGGATCTAAGCAACAGCTCCTTACTCCGATCTCCGCTTCACGAGTGCGGACGTCATAGCAGAGGGGAAGGTCGATTTTGTTGTATTTACCTTGATCTGATTTTATGTTGTGTCTGCATGGTTATGTTTTCGAGGCGGGACAAATGCACGCATTACTTTTAAAGAATTGGAAGGTACTTTGTGTGTAACTCCGGTCTTTGGCCACCGAATAGTTTTGTTCTGTGGATCATAGTATTTTCTCAAGCAGCTCCAAATGGGCTTAATTACCTCTTACATATTTTCTCTGCCCGTAGTTATAAGATCAGGGGAGTACTTGTACGTCTTCTTCAATTGTACTATAAATTTCTCCGACAAATGGTTCGTTCAACAAAAACTATCTAAACATATTACCAACAAGAAATTATCAACGTCCTCACTTTGCCATTGAATGAATGCTTATCAACTGGTTGCTAAGTGAGTCTGAAGTTTACTCTAAATGGATGTAAGATGGTTAGAGATAAGGCTTTCAGCCACACAAATCTTATTTCAGGACCTAAACTGCAAGAAAATATTCATAGTGTTTTAAATAATATAACTTTCTATCAATCATGAATATGAGGTTACATTCTGGAAGATTTATCTATAGAGGGAATAAACAACTTGGAAAAAGCTTAGTAATTACAAAACGATATAGCTTTGACAAAAATAATACTTTTCTTGTCTGTGTTTCCCGTGGTGTAAACCCACCTGCCTTGATGCTATGACAGAGAACAATGACAACCACAAGAACAACCGGTGCCTTCATGACCAAACCACACGTCCGAGATCTACAAAATGCCGGATTATAACACACATTCTTAAACAAATAACATCGCCTATAAAAAGATAGATTTATACAAATCCACACCTGACAAAGTCGGCTTTGGTTAGATAGAATATTAACAGTTCATTGTCTGAAAATCTTATTGGAATCGCTTCATGGCAATTTACCGTCGACATTTTCTATATCTACAGCCTTGTAATCACTTAATGTTACACCCTGAAGGGAAGACAGCGACGAACCTTTAACTCAAGCAAAAAAAAATGTATTTCCCTGTGAATAAATGTCCCGGCAAAGTCGCGGTGGTATTGTAACTGATCGGCCCTAAGCTCTTGACAAACGGAAGTGATGTCTAACTTGTTAATGTTTTATTAACTTCGTCAACTGTGCTTAGGTATTTGACTGATTCTGAACAATGGATCACCATGTATCTTATGATGTTTTTCAATTAAATCAAAGAGCCGTGGAAATAATAATATCAATTTGAATGTATCTTGAATTCTCCTTCAAAACGGCTTCATCGATTCAAGTTTAGCAAATTTAGTGAACTTAGGGCTGGCAGATTAGTAATTGCTTTGGTCTCCTTTTTTTTTTTGAAGATTTACTCCCACGATAACAGTTGGAAAAATTTTAATCTGTTGTAAAGAGTGCTTAAAAATAAAGGTTAGAAAGAAGGTAAACGCTGCTAAAGATGATAATTAGAAAATTATTGAATAAAAAATGTGTACAACGAATGTTTGTCACCTCAAAAGTTTTAGCCAACATTGACAACATCGAGCCCAATGTGGAAAGTTTATGTTTTAGAAACTAAGCGGCAAGCCAAGTGCATCGTGAATGCACCTGTCAAAATATCCGTTACGTCATGTGACCTGTTTCATCCAGTAACAGACGCACCCTTAAAAGGAGTTGATTAAAAGTCATTACGAAGAAGCTTTCTTAGAAAAAGCAATGATTTAATATGACCTACATTCTTCTTTCTCCATTTTGGGGCTGAAAATATTTGTCTTATCCATTTGTATATTGAATAGCCGATTCCTGAAATTCATGAAAAAAGGGAAAAAGAGCCTTGATTATGTCATCCTGTAAATTTCAGATCAATCACTCTACAGCTCCCTTTGAAACAAAAATTAATGTCAATGAAACAGTGAATTGATTCTCTGACACGTTCCCTGAGATATGAAAAGATTTTGCTGATAGCACTCAGCGTGACAAAAAGGATTACCAGTAGCCCTGATGTCTCTACTACCCTGAGCAGCGGAAAAGAAACTTGCAGATCACGAAGTGCACAGATGCCTGCCAAACAAACAAGTGTTTAACACATCCCTACAAAAGTAGGTTCCTTTCTGTGAGCTCTGCAAAGAAAAGAGCAGTGCGCAGAGCGGGGGAAGACACCATCGTTAACTTCTGGAGTCGAATCAAAGCAAAGCAAATTTTGCAATCAAATAGCAGCAAGGACCGCTAATATTATTGAATTTACTTTTCAGCAAAAAATGTAGGCATGATGTGATTTCTCACTATTAAATTGCTCTTATCTACTAGAAGATAAAGAAGATAGACAAAGAAATTCGAAACATGTTTCCCGATGTTGAAACACACAATTAATGTATAAGATCGTAGACGAGTAAGAATGGTGAGGAAACAAAAAATATTTCTGAAAATCATCCCTTTTCCATGTTGCTTAACTGCTAGTAACAAGTTGTTCTGTGCGTCGGTTTTTTTTTAAATTTAAATCTAGATTTCAACGAAATCAATTTTCATGTGGTTCTTACGTGCCACCACGTATGATAAGACGCATTTTTTTTTGTCAAGATTACCCTGCTAACAATCAGAATTGCCTTGATTAGAAGAATGATCCCATTCCTGAAAGGCAAACAATTTCATATCGACATTTCTTCTCTAAATACAGCAACCTGGAATGTAATCGGCAATTTGAAATCGACTCTTTATGACGATATAAAAAGAAAAAAGAAAAAGTAGATTTTTGTGAAATTGTCAATCAGTTATTGAGGATAAAAATCCCCAACAATGAATGTTGTTCGCCGCTCTCAAATTCTAAGAACTGGCACGAATTTGAGAATTTCAATGGTAAGCCGTAAAGCGCGTCTAAAATGATAAGCAGGGGGAGGGGGGGAGGGGGTGATGCATTCCAAAACAAGCCACAATGGACGTGATCTATCATACAAGTTCATATCAATCTGTGGTATGTTTAAACCATGGTCACAGTTGCAATCATGAACCGACATACACTCACCCAGCATGAAAAGCATTAGTAATTATTGCTGTGGGAGCTAGGAGCTCCGGTCAAAAGCAAAGCTGATTATTTTGTGAACTGGTTGAAAATCAAATATTTTTAACAATTTTTGGGAGAGTCGAAGGACTAATTTCTACCAGTCAACCCATGGACAATAGCGGCTGAAGCCTGAGCCTGATGTGTAAGGGGGGTAGGGTTGGGGTTGCATGGCACTTTTATGATGACTCAGTTTTCTAGACATTGGCTTAAAAAATTGTCTTTTAAAACCTTCTAGAAAGTAGTGGAATCAGGTTTTTTTGTACCTCTTTCGTGCAGGTAGAATACTGTTCACTAAACTCCAATGCTTTTTTGAATTGAAATTTAACTTCAAAAACAACACTACTTCTTTAGTGACCAAAGTAACGCTAATAAAAATATTTTATTAATTCCTCCCCAAGAAAAGTTGTCTACAAATAAAAGATTTCCTTTACAGTTTCTATCCCTCTTTTGCTTGCAAAAATTAGTTTGCGTTCATACACCATACATTTTCTCGGTACCTCACACGCTCTGTAGTTGTGTTTACATTTTTAGATAAACTTTTTAGTGTTCACTGAGCCAAAGATGGCTTTTATCTTAGATCGTGAAAACCAACAGACCCTTGAATCAGTGAACAATCTCATCAGAATACGTAAGCCCTGTTTCATGTCATAATTCTTGGCACACGGATTGAAAATCTTTTCGTAAAGTTTACTTTTTTCTTCCATGGGATTAATTGAGTGATTTTCTTGGAAAATAATTTGGTCAAGGTTGCTCAAGAAGCGAGCCGATGAGTTTGAATTTAATTGTGGTAAACCTTCAGTGATGATGTCATATGTTGTTAAACTCAGTGCAGGTTACCAGTCACAGGTAATCTGGGTCACCCAATTGCGTACCAATACACCTTGTTGTTTGCTCAAGAATTCCTGCTCCAGCCAAACACATATTGGTTTTTGGATTTTACTCTGGCAACGTTAACTTTCGGGGCAGTATGGACTTCTTGAAGCTATTTTGGACTGCATTTTCGTATTTTATGGCATTTCATGTGGTTACGTCGTTTCCAGTTCAAGGTTTGTGATGGTGTCTATGTACTTTCAGCGGATATGACGCCTTTTGAATCTGGTTTTTCGAAGATGGGCGCCATCGGGTCACAACGAAAACGAATTTGTTGAACCGAAGCGCAAAAGTCAGATTTGGTTCATTGCAGAAATAACACTATAACTCAGACGGTTTACTCTTTGACTCTCAAGAATAGACAGACTGCAATCGTTAGACTTTACGTTCCTTTCGAGACAGAATCACTGAAATTAGTTTAACCAAAATAGTATGAGGGCCGACATAAACTCAACGCTGATTGTGGCGGGAACGAAGCCAGTTGTTAACGGCTTAACATGACATTAATACTCCTTAAGCTGCATCAGCGCCGATTTTTCTATCAAAATAAGGACTAATTTTCGGTTTTAAATGGAATGTAGGTTTGACTAGATCATTTTTCTAACAAACTGCTCCTATACATCATGTGAATTTATTTTGTTTTCTTGATCTCATATTGCAGCAGGGCTTTCCCTGTGACCTAATTTTTAACGGCTTCAGCACATTTTCCTGTTTTATCGAAATATTCAGCAGTCGAATACCATTTACTCTGACGACATTCTTTCACGTCACGTTTTTGGTAGTCATAAAACAAAATGTACGCAAAGATCAGCGTTGCGTGCTAATTTTTTTAAAATGTCTTAGGCAATCTTATCATGATAGATTAGCTTAATAGCCTGGCTTAATCTGTTCTGAGCATGAGCCTTAATTCCCTATTCACGAAAACCGTGGAGTTGTCAGAGAAATCCGGCACATTCCTTCTGCGATGAAAACGCTTGACTCCACAATGCAGCCGAAATTGAATCCTCGATCAGGCGTTACATCAAGGTTAAGTTTTATTTATAGCTCTTATTGCAAGGGTACACTTCATGTTCACGGTTTCATCAGCTTTTTACAGCGATTCAATCCACGAGGTTCAGCGGACTATCCAAACATGGATGCCAGAAATGAGTATCAGATCATGCCTTCGTTTTTCTTTTGTTATAAAACAAAGTTTGCAATTGTCATGAGTGTTTTAAACATGAAAGATTTCTCCAACGGTTTTTCCGTCAACTAGCTTCCATCCCGAAAAGAAAACAAATTCCTACATGTTTCTATCGTTGCTTACTGATGTGCGCTTTTTCTCAGTAGATGTTGGTGGAGCATTTCCCCTTATCCGATCCCAGGCTAAACCTAACCCGGAACTCTGGGCAGCAGTGCAAAAATTAATGGTGCGTTAAGTAAATAAAACAAGATAAATATATAGGGTTAAAATGCCTAGCCGATGTTCAATTTTAATGTACCTTTTAATCCATGAATTACCCAGTGAAGCTAATCAACACAACTCTCCTTATCTAGTTCCTAAAAATATCTTTTTGTTTTTTGACAGATTAAAGCGAACAATTCCCATCCATAGATCTTTTCTTTCGCAAAGGTAAACAACAAGTTCTTTATTCATTTTAAAAATACCCGGTAATTCTTATCAAATTGGTGAAAATGAAGCATAAAAAGTTCTCCTGTTTTTTTAAAAAATGTACCTTTAGCAGTGAACTTATGAAATATATGTTCACATATGGAGATAGCGATGTCGTTACAGTAGCAAATTTTATCAACTCATCATCATCGCTATCATTACCATTGTCATGGTCATTACCATTATTATCTTTATCATTAGTGATATTATTATCATAACTATCTTTATTGTTATTTTTATAATAATTATCATTAATATTGTCAGCATAAACCTTATTATCGTTATCAACATTATCATTATCAGCACAGCAAAGTACATAATTGATATAAACCATTAGTCACGCCGATAATCCTGCTCCACTGAGGGTATTTTTGGTCCCTTTGACAACAGATAACAATCAGGACACCATAAAAGCAAGTAAAGTTTTCCCATTGAAATTGAGGAGCCATGGTTACCTAAAATGTGATTTAGGGGACCAATTAACCAAAAGCACAGCGATTCTTCAATTGCAGAAGGAGGAGGCAATGGCAAAAAGTTTGAAGGAAGTTGTAAAGTTCAAACAGTTTCAGACAGGAATGCCCAAGAAAGTCCAGCTCAGAGAGAAATATAGTTATGAAAGTTGCAAAAGAAATTAACGTTTCCTTAAGTGACGAGCAGCGATGGAATGTAAAAAAAATGCAGTACTGCAGTACATACCGCAGTACATAAAATATGCGGCACCAAGGGGTTAAAATACCCTCTACAAAATTAGCTGTGTTTCTGAGAAACGAACAACAAAACGAGTTTGATTCAAAATAGGAAATAGCTCAAAAGAAAAGTATAAAGGAAATGTATAAGTAGACAATGGTTAAAAGTATACAATGTTCTTCTCTACTGAATTAAACGCCGATGTCATTTAGCGGAGAATCAAGTGTTGCCTATAAAATTTAAGGTAATTTAGTGTTATCAACTGAGTTGAAAAGGTAAATTAACGCTCGAAACGTCAGCCTTTAAACTTTTTTACGGTGGCCAATTTACGTTTTCAACTCAGTTGATAACCGTAAATTACTCTGTTATACTCTCCCACCGACGTAGCACCACAGTTTCAATAGAAACTTACTCTTTTATCCCATAAAATTTAGTTCAGTAACCCACATCTCCTAATTACCGAGGTAATTAGGAAATCGAAACACTTTCTGCTAAGTTTCTGCAAACCGTATGAAGAAGGTTAAGTTGAGTTAGCAGATTGGGTGCCATCGCTAGCTGCAATCAATGTGATGTAAGTGACGCAAACCCTGATTTATTTTACCGGAGCCCATCGACGAAAATAATTTAAGTTACTTTAGCTTGCCTTTTTGTGTGAATATGCATTTGTTGTAATATCAGCATGGTAGACGTAACTGATCAGTAATTACTTCCAATAATTTCATTAAGCGAATTAAATCTACGAATGAAAGTAATCCACGTGTATTTGTTTCGTTGTATGTTAAAACAACTTAGGACTTATGAGTCATGTACAGGAACAGGAACAATTGTCTTCGAGGAGTTCTAATTCAACTTTAATTAATAAACATGTACAATAACGAGGTCAGAGCCCTCCCAAAATTATTTACAGAAATTTAGTGACCTCGCTAAGTTTAGAGTTTTGCTTCCTTGAAAAATTGAGAGATAAATTATTTGCATGCATTGTAAAATTTTACGAACCTTTTGATGAGATAAAATAATTTTAGTTTTTTGCTAAAGTATAAGTTAAAATTTTCAGCAAGAAATCAAGGCTGTACAATTTCTAAACAAAACAACTTTGTGGAATTTGTGTCTTGCTAGATACGTTTTTGATTATCCTACTTCAATAAAATTGTCAAGGAAAAGATAATAGGCTGTGTTATCGACTTTTATGCTGACAATACAATACATCACAAGTCAACAGACCGATGAAAATAATATCTTACGTAGATGTTGTGACATTCTAAAGACAAACATCACCCAATACATTTTACCTGGTAAAAGTGAACTCTTCGAGGTGGCTGTTACCACGGGTAGAAAGAAAGCAATTGCCTAAAGTTCTGTTTCACCTACTGGATAGTAAATTGCTAAAATAAAATGATGATAGACGGACTTGAGGTCTACCTAGCAATGGAAAGGGGCGGGGGGCGGAGGGGGTTTAAAGTCAGACACGGGTGCATAAACGTCTCTTGCAAGCTCCGTAAAACCGTCTCGGTGGCACAGTGTTGTCTTGGCACCCCATGCAATATAGTGGAGTTTCCATTATATGATGAATATCATAATTAATAAAAAGTAAATTTGAAAAACGACGGAACTGTTTTGTAGTAGTAAACACTAGTGTTCGCACTTTTAAATAAACACCCCTAGCTTGGAACCCTTAAGGTGAGGCGATGAAATTTCCACATGCATTGGTGATCAATTTTCTATGTGTTTCATTATCAGATCCTTCGAGGATAACAGTGCAGAAATAGTACTACGCTGAAGGAAAAAAATATTTGAACAAACGTTTTCATAAAATAAGAGCTATTACATACTATACAGTTAAAGATAAGAAACTGGTGTGATGTCTTGATGAAGTCACGAGGTGACCTTCCCCAAAAAATCTGAATTAAACCTTGTGATTCTTTCTCATGTAAAATTCTCATGTAGTTGTCTACATGTTCGTCTAATGTTACAAAGTATCTCTCTTTTAAGATTTCATTCCCACGCTTAACACTCCCAAATTTCTCATCACAGATTATTCATCGTGATTTATTATAGGAAGCACTCGATTTATGTGCATTGAAGTGTCACCGCTGTAACTGTGTTTGAGTAGTTTTTATAGATTCAAATCTCTGTGGGAACGTGAAAGCCTCTTTTCCCCTTTTATATCAGCTGGAGCATTTCTCTTGAAGTGTTCTTTTAAAATACTTGGAAGTTCTTCGCTGCCTCTTTTGGCTTTCTTATATTCTTTCTCAATATCTGCAGCTCTTTTCTTGATTGTGCTTTTTAAGCTGGTAACTTTATCTTGGAAAACGGGAATGTCCAAGAGAGCTGAGATGGCCTCCTTAGCTTGTTGACTAACTGCCTGGTGACTTTGTTTATAATCTTCAACTTCTTGGCGAATTGACTGAGCAAGCTCTGAAGATAGTCAAATAGTATGGGTAATGTAAATTTGAAATACAGGATTCATTAGGCTGACCCCTTAGGCGACACAATACTAAAACCAAATCATTAAGAGATAGCTGTGGCTAAAATATACCAAGATGTCGAGTGCAGAAAACACAGTCTGATTTAGGAACCAGTTAAAATTGATCACGTGATAGTAGGGGAGGGAGGCAGGATGCTAAGGGAGGATCAGTCGTTGCCAAACGGAGTATGCAAAAAAGAACCAGACAAAATTTACTGCCGATTAGCTGCCAGTGAGGGGGAGGGGTTTCATGAGAATATTGAGGAGTGTTATGGGGGGATCAGATAAAATTCAATGATCGTGACACAACCAAACTCTCCAACCCTCTTCCCACCCTCCCCACCCCGAGTAAATAAATAATGACCGGCACGTCCCTTATTACGTTGATTATCAACCAAAAGCTGATACAGGAGGTTGATAAAAGGCCTTGACAGATTTCAAAAAGCTGACACTGGAGGTTGATAAAAGGCCTTGAAAATTTTCAAAAAGTTGACAGTTCGAGCTTTAGCCTTCGGTTGGAGCAAACACTTTGCCTTCACTAACAAATGTCTCATGAAGACCAAAGATTACAGACCAATCAGAATATTTCAATTGGATTGGTCAGTTCTCACCGTTAATTTTCTGCACTAGTGTGTGTCGAACAGTATTTCTGAGTTTGTTCCTTGCTTGATCTCTCTGTCCAACAGGTACATCCATTTGTTGCATCACATTTTGTTTCAACTGGCTGACAACTTGTCCCAATCTCGCCAGGGTCCTCTTCGACTGATATATATCTACTATCAGGCCCATTATATTGTCCACTCCTGAAACGAAGGGAAAACGTCAACTCGTAATGAGTTTGGAAAACAAAGTCAGACGTGGAAAGCAAAGTTAGACTTGTGGCTTAATTCATCAGTCAAAGACATCGATATGAAGGGAAAGGAAAGACAAACGAATCAATGATGAACATTAATAGTAACCAGTGCAACTTGTAAGGTGGAAAACGCAACAACTACTGACTGCATTGTAACCATTATTATCAAAAATAAAGATACAAATACAAGCTCTGCCAAAGCTGTCAGCTCGGCAAAGAACCCAATACTGGAAAAAGCAGATATTTATTATTTCTTAATTCTTTAAAAATGTTGTAGCAATAATTAACATCGTCACTTTGGATTCAAGTATGAACAACTGATTAACTTTCATTGTACCTTGAGTTACTTGGTCCTGCATCTTATTGATATTTTTGTCATTCAGTATGAAATCTTGTCTCTAAAACACAGATGTAAAAGGCTTATTACAAGGAAAAAAGGAGTTATTCCGACCAGTACAGTTTGAGCGCAGCCCAAGACTGGGCTCCACACCAACAGATCCCTTTAGAGAGGTAGACAGGTCAGAAAAGGATTTAGATCGAAAGCTGTTTCTTTTGCTTAAAATCCCCGAACTCGACCTTTTTTGCAATCCGTTTTAATCTCATTCATTCATGTTGCTTCTTTGCCAAATTAATTTTAAACAGCTTCCGTATTTGTTTTTTCAAGTCGAAAAATGACTCAACATTAGGTCGTTGAAGTTCTCTCATTTTGTGAGTAATTTGTGAAAAAGTGGGACCAACTGTCTTCTTAGGAAGGAATTCAGTTTTTAGAGGGTTCCCATCAAAATAAAATGACAAGAACTGATTCACCGATACGTGTCTTATCAAATCTCCTGACATTCCACAATCGTGTGAATACCAGTTTCTATAAAACTTCTCACCTTGGATCTTGCCTTTGGTTTATCTTCTTCATCCAAAACCTCCGGCAGTTCTCTACGATGACGGGACAAAGTGACATCATCATGCTCATTTTCAACTACCCTTACAACACGTGCAGAATCTGTGAGAAAAACAAAATATAGTATTCTATAATCCGTAATACTTAACACCATAGTCATGGAAATCAGTGATCCATGCGATAGCGATTAACTTAGGAGCTCTGTAATACTTTGACATTTGCTTTATTCCCAAAATACGCCAAGGTCAAGTGTATGGACAATAACACGTGATTACAAATTTTTTATCAGCAGGCACTTGAAAACTAAACTGTGTTGAAAGTTTATATTGGAATGAGCGTGCCCAGGTGACGTTAAGATGTCCATATTTAAATATCTCTAATGATTTCAACTAACTTGTCTCCTGGCTCTCCTCCTCATCTGCCTCTTCTCCAGATTCCTCTCCTTCGTCTGTGTTCCCAGACTGAACAGACTCGCCCGACTCTTTCGGCTCGTCAGCTGCCTGGTTTTCAAACCCGGATTGCTCTTCAGAAACATCCCTGTCACCAGATGCAATGGCAGTATCAGCACCCTCGCCGGATTCAGCTGCGTTTGAGCTTTCGTCTGACGTCAATGGCTGAAAAGTTTGGCTTCGTTTGGCTTCAAGCATGGTATCTTCACCCGATGCATCATTTAGCATGCTCAAGTCATCTTCAGTATCACCTAGTGATACTGGAATAACGTTACGCTTCGATGTCGTTTCCACTGGAGCTGCCCTTGAAGCCATTTTCTTAGGTCCGTCAAAGCTCTCGTCCCATGGCTCCGCGACCTCTCGACGCTTTCTAGCTTTCAGTTCCTTATTCTTCGATTTCTCGACGAATTCTCCATCTCCTGACTCATCAATAACCATTCTTCGATATTCAACCTTTTGTTTCTTGTCTCTGGACTCTAAAAACAATCGTAAATGACAGAAAAGAACACTCAAAATACAATCAACACAATTGTATGCTTGAATACCATATGAGAATCACAGTCAGTGATGACCCTTCTCCTATCTATTTTCCTGAACAAAAAGAATGGTAAGGTACAGTCAAAGATTGTACATCATGTTGTTAATGGAAATGGCTCAACGTTTTTCAATTGATCATGACTTTTTGCCAAAAAAAAAATCAAATGCGTTGCTCTATCAACGCCGTGGCGTGCATTCCATTCTGCGACTGGACTTTACCTCCCTTCTAATTCATTTCGTAATTCAGCCACCTCTTATCAAGACATTATCGCTCGTGCCTTTTTTTTTTTTTGGGGGGGGGGGGGGGGGGTTTGCTTATGCTTGCATTTCTACCTAACGAACTATTTTCGTCCTCATCTCCAACATCACGATAATTTCTGTCGTAGCCCCCCACGTCGCTCAGATAAGCCACCAAAAGATCCCGACCATCTCCCTCTGCGTCTCGTTTCTCTTTAGTCGTTGATTGAAGGGACGCATCCTTTGATTCCATCAATTTCTCAGCCTCTGTCGAAAAGAAGAAAAATTGAGTTCGTTAAACGCTGTACACTTTCAAATGGTTAGAAAGTGTGGTAATTGTTTACTGTACTTACCACTGAGTGAGTAGAGTGCGTCTTCACTTTGCTGCTGAAATTCTTCATCTGGTGCGCGTTTGGATTTGCCATGATCAGCATCTAGACGGGAAAGGCGGTGATTTGTCAATTGTACATTTATGTTATTTCTTATTAAAACTTTCTTCAATATACATTTTTACTCGATCCCCTAACTCACCAAGTTCGACCCATCCTTGATCGTGGTCAAATTGAGAACATATCGTTTATCACATTTTAAGATTTGAAGACAATACTCACGTGGTAACAATTTCTTGGCAGCTGAAAAATTAGAATCAAAAATATATTATGAACGAGTTTTTACAGGCTATTTACAGTGGCCGGGAAAAATCCGAGGGAAAATGGTCCAGTTACCCGCAGAATTTGCGTCTACAATTTCTGAAACGGATTTACTTAGCTCCAAATACAGATAGAGAGATTTTGGATTGAAAGACAGAAGTAAACCACTCTCTAAAATATGTAACTATTTAAAAACCTCAGGTGCATCATTTTATTCAGACGTGTCTTCCTCAACTTCCGCGCTTTATCCCTTGTCTTCTCTTCTTATCTGCTCTTTTCATCTGTTATTGTTGGTGAATATTACAAGGCTGGCAAACAACCTTATCATGCACAACTCCTATTTGTACATGATTGCAAACATGTGGAATCAGTTACCAGTTGTAACCAAATCCTCGACCACTCAAGCACAATCTCGTGCTCGCCTGAATAATGTTAATTTCACAGGATACCAATGTATGAACTGTATATAATTTTATCTATTTTTACATTTTGACATACTCTTGAGCTAGTTAATATATATATATATATAAATAAATATTATGAGAGGAAAAAAGGACGTAACTACATTTCCCGACAAGCCTGTTTCGTGAATCGCTTCACTCTTCAGGGGTTTAATGAAAGAATATTCATATGACTATCGTTTATATACTAGGAAAATTTGCATAATACGCGGTAAACTTAAAAACTTTGAAGTTCAGCTGTTGCGTAGCAACGTTTTGTTTCTGTGTCGGCATGAAGATACGAGTTCGTTACGCTTAATTAGTGATGAGAGGTCGGGTCGGTAAATTATCAGGAATTTTTCTTTTAGGCAGAGGTTGCACCTTTTACTGGAGCTGTTGTAAGGAGAGTTAGATGATAAGACGCGCCATGAGATAGAATAGTCAATGTTGTCGTTCTTGAGTGTCCAGATGTGTTTGCTAAGTTCGGTAGAGTTTTTGTGCTTGGCGTGGCGGAATGATGCGGTGTGATTTCTGTGTCTTGTTTTGAAGTCGGTTTCTGTAAGTCCGATGTATGTATCAGAGGTGTTGTTGTCGTTCCAACAACAACACCTCTGATACATACATCGGACTTACAGAAACCGACTTCAAAACAAGACACAGAAATCACACCGCATCATTCCGCCACGCCAAGCACAAAAACTCTACCGAACTTAGCAAACACATCTGGACACTCAAGAACGACAACATTGACTATTCTATCTCATGGCGCGTCTTATCATCTAACTCTCCTTACAACAGCTCCAGTAAAAGGTGCAACCTCTGCCTAAAAGAAAAATTCCTGATAATTTACCGACCCGACCTCTCATCACTAAATAAGCGTAACGAACTCGTATCTTCATGCCGACACAGAAACAAAACGTTGCTACGCAACAGCTGAACTTCAAAGTTTTTAAGTTTACCGCGTATTATGCAAATTTTCCTAGTATATAAACGATAGTCATATGAATATTCTTTCATTAAACCCCTGAAGAGTGAAGCGATTCACGAAACAGGCTTGTCGGGAAATGTAGTTACGTCCTTTTTTCCTCTCATAATATTTATTCTGCTCTGCTTCAACGTATTGAGCACTGTTCCACGCGAAAATCGACCTGCAGACTTCCTATATATATATATATATTTTAGTTTGTCGAGAGTTTTTAACATGAGCCTCTGGCTCGGAAGATTGTGCAAACACTTCCCACGTCTTCGACGTTAAATTTAAAAAAAATAGTAACTCGGGCTGTATTTGATGCCCGGGCTGATTATACAGGTACACAATCTGAATTTTTATGCCTTTATCTGATAGCTCCTTACAGATATACTCACCTTTCAGGGCAGCTTCCGCGGCTAAAAGAAATGCAGAAAAATAAATAGTTTTAAAAATGACAATATCTTATGCAAATCTTAGGTATAAGCATCACATGATCACGATGAAGGTCACTTTAAAACTAGGATAACCCTTACCTTTCATAAGATGATTGGCAACTTCAGCTATGAAGAGATAAAAAGGCAAAATGTTAAAGGCAGGAACTTAAGGGGTGTGGTTTGAAAATCATTGTTTCCGGAAAGGCAAGGCTTTGTGAAGTTTCATCAAGAGTTTTAAAACGAAGAAACAGTTGTTCTTTATATGAAATACCATGAAAAAGCATCTGTGGCTTATATATACGAACAATTAAAAATACTTACTGTGCTCTGGTACTTGGTTATATCAGGTGATGAGTATGAAAGTAAAATAAAATCAACTTGACGTTATTCCAAATAAATACCGGTAATACCTTCCTGAATATTTGCTAATGGAACCAAGTATTTACCATAAAATGGTTACTGCGTCAAAGAATACGAGTGAGAGCACTAATGTTAGTGTTAGTGTGTTTGTCAGCCATGTGAAGTGTTTCATGTCAAGACTCGTGAAGTGTTCCTTTCACGTTCTAACATTACATTATTGAGCTGGATGAGAAAGTAAAACAACAATGGTTTAGTTGAAGAGTTTATTGTGTAAATTGCATAAAAGGGTCTTATAATAATAATAATAATAATAATAATAATAATAATAATATAAAGATCCGAGCGAGTTAATCCCATTTCGGTCACTACGCATCTAAAAAAGATAAGGTCTGAAAAGCAAATAATGATGATGAAATAAGCTAATTAAAATTCAGACTTGAACACCAACCATATTTGTCTTCTGGCTCTTCCACAGATTCTCCTGATCCACTGTCTTCTTGCTCTTCTGGCTCGTCTTTCGCAGGTGGTTCATGCTTTTCGCGATCTTGGTCAAAGAAAAAAAAGGATCAGAGGGTATTACTGTGTGGAAAATTCTTTTTAGGAATGTTTGTTGCATTTATTTTTCTTTTTCCGGAATTCATATTGCACGTTTGAATGGGAAATTTATTCTGTGTTATTGAGCATGATAACACTTTTTCATTCCTTGTCGATGACTTACCTACAGAAAAGATAGAATTATGCCAGAAAGCTCCACAATATCTTGTCTTATCACCAAAACATAAACTATCGCATTCAGCGTCATCAACCTTGCCGTAGGTGCCAAACCTATCGCCACAGAAGCACAGATATCCATACTGCAGCCCTGCATATTTGTATCCGGCCAGCTTACACTTGCCAACACACCACTCAGGTGTCATTTCATACTTTGTGAACTGTTTTCTTAAATCACGATTAGGTTTTTTATCTTTGTAGCATCCCTGGTAGGCTATAGAGAATAATTACAGATATAACAAAGTTAATGAAAGGTATCACCACTTTGTAAGGCATTGTGCCGCATTTTGCGGGTTAAAAAAGGAGATTCTGGCATTTTAGCCCGCTTGCTCGTTCTTGTGATTGTTAAGACTGGGAAACTGTTTGCTGTAATTTTTGTCAGTTTTTAATTTCTCAGTGCACTTTAGAGTAATAGTATATCAACAAAGTTTTATGTTCTCCAGCATAAATATTTTTTGGGCCCTCCTTAGAGTCATTTTAACCCTCACCGCTAAAATGACTGAGAGTCGGACCCAAAACATATTTATGCCCGCGAACATAAACCCTATTGTATCATTTATTACTGGTTAGGAAAATGGAAAAAATCAAAGATGAAAAGAAAAAAAACTTCCAGTAAGCTTAGTGAACATTTTACACACGATGTGCAAGCAAACAAACAAATGAAAAAGATAGGTCAATGAAATAAGCATTCAGAAAAGAGAATCGTGGAAACGAACCGCTGGACAAAGTTGTCAAAATTTCATCTTCTTGTTTATGGCTGCTCACAACTTTGACTTTAGGAACAGCATCCAGCTCCTTTTGAGTGGCTACAATTGATCGGTGGTGATGTGCAATGCCTATGTGGAAAAGGAAGAAAATATCAGAGAAAAATAGAATAACTACCAAAATCAATTAGGAATCAAATAAAATCGAATTACTCCCGGATAAGGTGAATCAGAAACTTAAAATTGGAGGTAGATTTTTGCCAAATTGTACAACATACATGCCCACAATTTGACCTTTTCTATTTTCATAATTAGGAATCTTGTACATCCAGAGGGAAATACTGATTGGTTTTATTACGCTTAAAGACCACGCGTGAAAGTAGAGCTCCAATGATAAAAAGTGAACTTGAACCAAACTTTCACCGTGGGAAACAACTTTCTCAGTCACAAGATGATTTACATAACTTTCAAGTTTATCTTCTACTGCATTTACCTTCCCTCAGCAACGTATGCTTGAATACCGGCATGCTTTGCAGGTAGTTTTCGGAGATGGCGCGTGAAAGATATCTCAATGCGCTGTACTCTGGCTGAGCAAACTCAAGAAGGAAGTTGGCTGCAACCTTCATGTCTTCCTCGCTGTGGATAAACACGAGAGTAAGTTTAGTCCTCTTCGAACATCTCGTATCAACAACATTCATAACATTCAAGATCTTACCTAAAGCTAGTAACTTTTACTTGTCTAAAATTCTTGTCTTGGGTGTAAACGTCTTTTATCTGTGATGCCAAAAAGAACACAAAACGTATCTTGCTATGAAGTAATAAGCAAATATATAGGTTTGTTTTCGTTGTGCCACATACAGAAAACAGCGCTGAAACCTCACGCTGAAACTTCCACAATGACAGAGAGATAACAAAATGGTAGCTTTCACGATCCCAACGATAACTTGGTGAAACTGACTCCTGGAGTAATAGTTCCTGAGTTCCTAGCGAGGAATAGTTAGCTGATGCATGTCTTCAGTCTTCAGTCTGTCCCATGGGGGACAATCCATGCAAGATAAAAATAATGTTTATAAGGCCGTATTTATGCAAAAGAGAAACATAAAACATGTTATGGTAGAGCTTACCGCTTTCTCCACCTCAGCAGCAAAGATCTTGTACTTTGTTGAAGATGAACGCTTGTAATCATTATGCCAGTTCTGTTTGAATCTCAGTGAAGCTTTGATTTCATTACGCTCATCTGTGGAAATTCAACAAATACGTACACAATTAGAAAAGCTAACTCTTTTCCGTTTTTTTTTCTCTAGTAAAAATGACCTCAAAATCAAAACATGTATACGACATGATTGATCGATACAAACACAAAAACAGCTCAAGTTATGGACGAGAAACTTTTTTTTCCGATAACTTTGTCTCGCAGAGTCAGTATTTTTTTGTGTCTTGTGCGTAGCAACTAGACGCTGTGCAACAGCGGTAAGAGATTGCTTAAGTGCTTCACATAGGAAAAAAAATGGCCAATTGCTGTTATGGTTTCTGTGAAGTTTACCGTACGTGGCAGGCTACACGATGTAGGCGACCATCGCGTAACACAAATAAGACAAAACTGCCTAACCAGTGACGTGCCGTAATTACATCGATATCTTGTCGTAAGATCTGTCGTGATAAGTCGGAAAAACCCTATTTGGTGAGCCAAACTCCTTGAGCAAACAGAGGGATATTCGAGATCAATTGAATTCGAAAAAGCAAACGTTACGAGACAGCTTATCGACGTAGGAAACCATGCGTTTTGCAGATTGTCGTGTCTTAAGAAGGGCCTGAGGTGGCGAAGCAGGTTTACTTCGGAGAGTAAACAATTCTTTTCTAAGTTATTGATATAGAAGAGACTTCCGATCTTACGCGCTTACATTTCACCTCTATAATTGACCTTTTGTACTTTGTTCATCGTCACGTTTCTTTTAATCGACAGGTGGTCAGCGGTATACGGCCAGTGTATGGGTTAACAGATTTTATGACTTTATTTCTTGCACGAGGATCCACCCTTCAGCCACTAAAAACTCTGCATTATTTATATTTTCCTTTTATTTTAATTAAAAACTCTATGTTCGTTTGGTTTCCATGTCATTTTGTATGTCTAATATGGTAACGCCCCAAATATCATCAGAATGTCGTCGCGACTTGTACCTGCATTGCATCTATCTTTGTTTTACAGATTTAAATATTTGACGGAAATCCTTGTGTTGAAACCTTTTTTTTTCGTTCCCATAATTCCAAAAACTGATTTCGTATTAAATTTTATTCGATATTACGTAGATATTTGCAAAATGCTGTTCCTCGGTAGTCACAATTTGTTTTAGTATTGCTTCTGATTAGTTGAGAAACTCTCCCGTGGATCGATTTACTCAGAAAAATCGGAACTCGTAATCAACATAGTTTATCCAAAAAATTCCTTGAAAACTACTACACGTTGGTACACCTATGCACCCATTTACAGCTATTCAGCATACCTTCCAAATAGACTGACAGTGCAGTAAAGCTGTAAGCATTTTCACTTTCATTTTAATTTTTGCTAAACACATGTACGCAGTGCGGACCTGTTGTTTGAATTTGTTGTAAAAAGGTTAGATTGTTTGCTGAAAATAGAAAAATTCTAAAAATTGTTTAACTCATCTTTGTCTTGAATGAATGGTAAGTACATCATGTAATCATTACGACAATTAATACCTGTGGGCCAATCAAGGAATACGCGACATCTTGGCGCGCTATAATCCTGGCAGTTATTAGGCATAGGCTTGAAGTGCTGTGCAAGTGCGGCACCCTGAGGCTGGGCTGGTGCTGGCGGTGCAGCTACTCCTGATATGGAAATGGAATAAGGAACCTGAGGGGAGGCCTGGGGAACAGCGTACGGTTGAGGCTGCTGAAGCTGAGGCATCGCCATTGGGATCTGACCCGGGATCATTGGCGCAACTGGTATCTGAGGTTCAGGCTGCTGACTGATACTGATCGGATCCATCACGACAGTTGCGCCGGGAGTCTAAAGGGATTATTGCAAGTTAGTAAGTGAAGGTTTAAACTAGATATTGTCCAAGTCTTATGAACACGAGCCAAATGCTAAAAATACGTTTGAAAATATGCCCGACAGTAGTAAAAAATTGCTTTGTCAAACTCTATAGCCATTCTCTAACAATTACTTGTTTTTTCATAAAGTAGTTTTTGTAATTGGACCGTTTTATTAATTTTCGTCACGCGGAAAGCATGGAAAATATACCCATTTAAGGAAAACCTCATCGAACCTGGAAAGTGTATGGAGACGGAGCTTTGGCAGGCTTTGGAGCAGGAGGAGCCGGTTTATCTTGTTTCTCTTCTTTTTTTTCTTCAGCCGGTTTATCAGACTGTGGCTCCTTTTTGTCACATGACCGTCCCACGCAACCCTCCTGAACAGGGGAAGTGCCTGCAGCCGCAGGGGGATAGGCTCCAGCGGCGGGATATGGCTGAGGTGACATGTAACCGGGGTACTGACTGGGCTGACAGGCTGGGGGGACACAGGGTGATGGCATTTGCGCTCCATAAGGATACTGCTGACCGTACTGTTGTGGATAGAGTCCATAAGGTGATTGTGTCGGCTGTTCAATGGATGGGGGGTCACAGATGATCTTACACTCAGTATTACCCAGCTGTAGAGTAAAGCACTTACTCTTGCAGTTCTTGTTGCTGTTTGCTGTATTTGCAGAAATGGTGGAAAAAATATCATTAACAGTTATCTTAGAAAAGCTAAGAGACTCGTGGATTTTAACCGACAGAGATAGATACTTAAGACGAAAAAAATTAACTTATGTATCTAACTAATCATAAATTCACCTATCTATTTATTGATTTGTAATTTTCGTCCATTTATTCATTAATTTTTCATCATCATTTTTATTAGAGCTGAAGTAAACTTTCAAAGATATAAGAAAGGTATATAGCCCAAAAAAATTCAAGTCTTGGGTATTCAGAGCGTTATTTGAAACGTTATTTCGCGTTTGTTGTTGCAAATATTTTAAACCGTGGGACAAACAATATTCCTTGCATCAATGAAGCCATCTTTCCTTGTACTTTTTCTAACCATTAATGTAAACGTTTTGGGAATAAAACGGGCCTGCTTACCGGCTGGATCTTGTTGCTGCAGTTGCTGCTGCGGCTGCTGACCTTGTTGCTGTCCTTGCTGCTGTCCTTGCTGCTGACCTTGCTGCTGCTGTTGGTCTGCCTGCTGCTGTTGTTGTGGCGGACCTAAACTCAATAATAATCAGAGAGCAGAGTTGAAGCCGGTTGGCTTTACCGGAGTTCTCCATCAGCAAAAGCTCTATTTGTAAACATTCAATCATTTGGGGTGGGGGGGATTTGACTATTCAATTAATCCTAGATATCTTAGTTAGGACGGTTCACTTTCCTTGCCATCTACATGATACTGTAGCCTTTTTGGGTCGGTCGTTTGATGTCCACTGCTGGACTTACCACATGCATAATTAGCAAACTGCATTGTGTGACCTAAGCAGGCAGAAGTGTTTTTATTGGTTCTTTGGTTAGCTAAATACCATGACTCCAAACATAGTACTGGCTACTTCAAATGAGTCATAATTGCCAGATCCTCAATATTTTTATGTTATCAGCCTGTTGAGTTATGATTTGTCGTTCCTCCATTGTTGTTGTTGTTGTTTTCGGCCCAGAAATTGGCAGTGGACTGTATATTGCAGATTGAGAGGTGAGAAGGTATAAAAGAAAAACATTCCCGCACGCGCACGGCTCAGTGCCCACAGTCTGTTGCCTTAAACTGTAAACAAAGCGTCCCCCGTAAAGAAATCTGGTCACAGTTTAAGGATCTGTGCAACCTACCGTCATAGAACATCTTTGTCAAAGACTGCTCTACATCAAGAATGTGCGATAAGGACTTGGTAAACTTGTCAGGCTGAAAATCAAATCAGAATGCATGGAGTTGGTCTGATGAAGATAAAGAAGCATTTCTGATAGCAATACCATCAAAGTTAAACCTGCTGCATATGATTTCCACTCACCGGCTGACTCATAAGCCATTCAATGAACTGTTGGATCTTTCCTTCTAGACCCTAAAAACATGGTAAAAATTTTCAAAAAGTTTAATTGAAAATAGGTTAATTTTGGTTGAACGATACAAATAGAAGTAAACAAACGAAAGAAAGAGTACAAGGGAGGGAAAAACAGTTTTCTTGTTTAGAAGCTTATGAAAATACCCCAAATGTTAAAAATCTAAACCAAATTTCTCACCGGCTTTATACTTCTTGTTTCTTCAACTTTTTCCTCTCCTTCATCCTCAGGAGAGTTAATGGCATTAAAAAGACTCTCAAGCTCTGAAAATATATCAGTTAAAAGTATGTTTACTCTTCTGTTTCCTCTCTGTTCCTTGATTTAATCAAGAGAACTTACCCTGCCTGTCAGCATCTGAAATTTTTGAGTCTCCCTTCCAATCATCTCGGATTATATATCCTAGTGAAACAACAGCAACAACATACAAATAAATAAATAAATAAATTAGTGGTAGGAGGATAAAAATAGTCCAACACATCAAAGCTATGTCTTGAATCACTTCAGTAAGCTATGCTCTGCTGCATCTGCATGACGTCTAACAAACACAAGCGACGTTTATAAATACCGTTAATTCAAGAGTACGACTTCTGTTCTGGACTCAACAGGGAACCAAAGCAAACACGTTTTGGAGACGAGGCTGGCGGTCGGAAGTAGAGAGTTATTTTCCCTGAGGTATGGTACTCATTTTGGAAAGGACTTTCTTGCATATACGCTGATATCAACGTGTCCCAGATAAATTTGCAATTTCCGGTCTCCGTCCGTTAGCTTACCCAAAGAGTCTTTGGGTAAGCTTACTAAATCTTCGCGTGCATCCTTGTCGAATCTTTTCACAATTCAGTCTGATGTAAAATTTTCCCCTCGCTTAGCTTTCTTCAATTTATTTTGAAAAAATAAACGTGGACAACCCATTGGCTGAAAAAGAATGGATGAAAGTTTGTACCTGTGTTGTCAGCACCATCATCAAAAGACCTCTTTTTTTCTAAAAAGGAAAGACGGAAAATTATAAAATTTTACAGGTACGGTGCAAATATTGAGAGCTTATAAAGCGAACTGAATAAAATCCAGTTATTCACCTGTTTTCTTGTCTGCCGCTCGCGTCAGAAGAGCTTGAAAGAAAGCGTCTGTAGGGAAAGTATAACATGATATAACCTAAACGAAATTGTTTGTATGAAAAGTTTTACCCTCTGAATTAAAAGCCTTTGTTTGCTTTTCAACAGATCAGGTGGAGCCGGAGATTTACCTCTACACTCAACTGATGGTGCTCTGCACTGTCTCGTGGCGTCAGAACTCAATTTAATAAATCGCTGGCAGCGCTCGTAGGTAATATGAAGGCAAATCCTGTTTTCTGATTAGCTACTCGAGCGGGCGAGATAGGCCCATTTGAACAATAATATGCAGGTGTGCCAAGACAATAAGGACCAAGTTGTTCCAATGTCTATGTATGTTCATCAATGCAATAAACCACCCTTAGTTTGATGGGGACTGAAAAATCCCTATGAGAAAAAATCAACGAAGACACCTACAAACTTACAAACTTACCTTCCTCTGCGGCTCTTTTATTCCGTTTGATCTCTGAGCAAAGAAGAAAAAACACAGTTACCTTTCTTAAACTGGTGCATGACAGTGTTGTTTTCACGTTAAACTTACCTTCAGTGGATCTCTTCTTTTCGAGGTGAGCTTTCTGTTTAGGTTCCTCATCCTCTACATCTCCCCTGGCAACTCGGATAAGTTCTCTATCAGACTCATCCACTATTTCCACAGCTTTGGCTTTTTCTACACAAACAAATAAGATATACATATGTTTGTGTTCCTAACATGATGTTTTCAGATCATTTCTTCACTTCCTTCTCACAAGATATATGGTAAAAGCGAACTTTGAGCTTTAAAGATATTTATACATACATTTATTTTTGTTTCGTCTCGTTTCTTTCTTCCTGAGATTCATAAGAAACCTAATATTTGATAATTATTCGTGTTTCCTTTAGCGTCCGAAAAACATCAATTTGAGAGTTTGTTGGTTGATGTAAATGGCCCTTTTGACAGAATATGCTTAAAAATAAATTAAGACAAACTTCTAATTTTTGCGGCTGAATGCGTTCTAAATTTGGTCAAAACCAACCATTTTTTCTCACCTACGGTTGTGGTGGCTAGACATGATTTTATGATGAAATTAAGGTCCTTTAACTCTGTCAATGGGCCACGGAAAGGTTGTTATTACCTTTCAAAAATCATAGGAATTGTACACTTAGTAAAACTCAGGGTAGAATTCAATACAACCAAAAAAAAAACCTATCCTCCTAAAGGCCCTAGATTTTGATTCTACGTTTTGCATTTAGAGAGCTTTGAATTAGCAAGGTGTTTAGGGTTGTCTAAAAATACAATTTTTGGGTGTGGTGAACGCCTCAGAAGATCATTATTAGCGTATATCAAAGTGACATAGTATTAACTTTCCGTTTCCGATGAAACTTTTAATTCAGAAATTTCATGGATGAATGAAAATGTTGTTCTTGCGATACTGGAAATCACAGAAGGTATAAACCGTGTAAAACTCTGACTCGGTTGATTGTGTTTTGCGTTGCTTGAATGATCTCACGTTGAAAGTTAGTGACAAGTTATAGTCTGAAAAACATACAAAAGATCAAAATCCGGCTGGATTAATTTCCGCAAATGCTGTTCCACACATGAAGTAATGAAAAAAAGGAGACAGGCTTTTTGCGATCCGTCCATATCTTCAGTTTTCAATCAGCAAGAATCGTTGTTTTTTAATATAGTTTTTTTTTTAAAAAAAATTGTAATAGTTAATTTATAGATCCACTGGAGAATTAGGAACTTGAGCGATGAAGGACGATTATGGAACAAAGTTTCAAACGCATTCGTAACACTTGGAAAATGGTTTTATGAAATAAAGATTCGTCCAGAGAAGGCTTGAGCAAGGTAAAAAGTTGACGGGTGGCTGTTACTGTGGAGTGTCAACATTTCTTAAACATTAACTTGTTAAAGCATATCACTGTCCACGATTTTGGAACCAAGGAAAGTTAAAACAAATCTCGGAGCTTAGCTCAGCTAGATCTTAGGTTTAGATAAGGTACGACTAAGCCAGTGAGTAGAGGCTTACACACGAGACCTTCCCAGATCACAGAAGACACCAGCAATCCCAGGTTGTAATATAGATCACTCTGCTCGGTGTAGTGATCGTACTCAAACTACGTTAGGGATGAGGTTAACTTACTTTCGGAAGGCCGTGAAAACCCCACTGCAAACAATCCGAAGATCAAAACCAATGATACGATCTTCATAATACTTTGGGAAAAATTTTCTCCCAAATTTCCCTCGCTCTACATTCAAGTTTCGGACATGAAATTTTCCTCTCTCTCCAAATACCAGCGATATCACACCGTACGCTCTGATTGGTCCGCCTAAAGCTAAAATAAACACGATATCCAATATTCATGGTACCAGCCCGTATTTTAGCAGGTACGCTTTACCGATTGGTTGCTTTGTATGAGGTAATGATCAGCGCGCGCGAAAATTACGTTATTTGTTACATATGTCGCAAATTTTCTCGCACCTTTAACTCCAGGATCAGAAATGACTTGATTTCATCGAAAACTCTTTTTCTTACAACCAGCTTAAAGCAAAACTACATTTATAAACTTGGTGCGCAACGGTGTGGATTTGTAAAGGTTTGAATGATAATCACGCACTGTATTAGTTATCGCTTGGACCCAGATGCAATTTTGCGCTTCGAGGTGAAAAATACAGCCGAGAAAGATAACACAAGACTTACTGACTGTAGCGGTCAGCTAACGGCTTTGCCTCCAAATTGAAGTACTTAAGAGAAACTCGGGGTCCGCAAGCGGCGTCTAAAAATATTAATAATGTGGTTTAAACTAGTCTATGTGATGCAGACTTTGGAAAAAACTAATTTAGTTTTTTCAAAAGTTTGCATTGAGATGACTATTGTTGAAAAACAATATTCCAGGCGCTTTCACTCAGAGGGATTGACCATTTTCAGGGAAACTTTCTTCTTTTTTCCTCATTATCGCTTTACTGCACAATTTTACACATCTGGTCCCAAAAGAACCTGCGTCACAACTTGATTACTTTTATTGGACTATGTTGTCCGAGTGTCCAGTTGTTAGAGCATTCACACGCACTAATTCAGATCATCTCATCCAGTGAAATTTGACCTATTACTTTCTTCCCTTTTGTCCGTAATTCTTGCTATGGTCTCAGCTGTTCAGCTGCAATGTTCGTCATACGGAAGACAAAATAAAACAAGGCAAATGATTTATTACAAAATTACAAAAATCAATTAATTTAAATCGACCTATCACTAGTAACAAGCAGTTGAGACTATGACTTCATGTGGCGGGGAAAAACTAGCGCGGATTTCAGTGTACAACTTTTACCGGAGTCGTGTGGATTGTCTGCACGCTTGGACCACGCGATATTCTCGTGGTGGCTGCTTTAATTGGTGCACGCTGACGAGTCGGAGGGGCTCCTGAGGTGCCATATTCTGAGGAATGCTTCTGAACGAGAACTGAACTAACAGGCCCTTGGGTACCTACCAAACCTGAAATAAAGTATAAAGGAACAAGAATGTTTTGAAATACTTTTTGGTTATGATAGGTATGTTGAGGTTCCTTTCACCACTTTCCTCCCTTCCCCGTGGTAGTCCATGGGGAAGTGATCTCCCACTTCCTCTTTAACCACTCAGCCATCTCGCTGGTAGAGTATTGGCTTTGAAAATCTGAAATACATCGACGGAAGGAGAGAAAAAAAACATGTGTAAATTTTACTTTACCGGCGCCGCCTCTTTGTCCCTGAATGTCTGATCTGCAAACAGCTTTCACGGTAACAGTTTTTCCCATCTGGCCAGGCTTCTCAGCTGAAGTTTGATGTCTGGAAAACACGTGACTAAACTGATGTTGCGTGACAGCTGGACCAGATGTCGTTACAGTTGGAAGAGGTGGTTGATGACGTGGCATATCTTCATCTGGAGACAAAACAAAGACGAGACGCCATTTTAGCACGGGTAATTAATCAATTAACAAATAGAGAAGCCTTGGCTGAGCTCTGCTCTGGTGTAAAGCACGCAGGAAGCGGTTAGAGCACTCAAGAAGCGGGGAGAAACACTCGACTACGGCTTGTGCCCCTAAACTTCTTTCGCGCTCTGGCCGCTTCCTAAGTGCTTCACAACAGAACACAGTCAAGGATTCTCTCTCTGTTTTATAATAAAGAATCCGTTAAATTCCCTACCCGTTACTTTTAATTTTTAAAACAACCTTTATTTCCAAAGTGAACTACAGTGTCGTCAGCATGCTCTATACTCTGATAGAGCACACTTTTTCAACTAATGACAGCGTGCGTTACATCCAAACTTTGCTATAAACTGGATATATAAGATGCGTCTCTTTATTTCGGTCATGATGAATGTCACCTGTACACTAATCTATTATTCTTTTTCAAAATAGCGATTACAAGACAAAAATTTTCGTGCTTCATAGTAGCATACAACGTCGCGCTCCACAACTGGTTATGACTCAGTACAATCATAAAAATGAGGAACCGTTCATTCCTTCTCTCACCGTTGTTGTTGATTCCTGCAGCAGCAGGCGGAGGTCGTCTGCCACCCTCTTCACCTTCTCTGAACATAGTCATGGCTTCCAAATTCAGTGCACACACTCCGCGCATGAAAGCTTTTTTCATAGTTTCTTCATACCGTTCCCTCTCGGCATGAAGATGAGCTATCTCATTCCGCGCTATTTCCAGCTCACGGGTGGCCTAATCAAGGGAACAATTCATAAATGAACCTGACCGAGTGGGTTAAATTGGCGGAGTTTTCTTTAAGTAAAAAGAAGGAAAACCAAAGACCAAAACCAAAAGCATAAAACCTGTCACTATCTTGATGGAAAATTTCACGATACTTACGGAAATTAATGATTTGTTAACCTTTGATTTCTGTCCTTCGTCTGAGGGCGTTTAAAGTTTACAGTCAAATTACAAGGAAAAAAAGACACGATAAAACATACTGTTGCGAGACGACTTTCATAGTCTTCCGTCAACTTGACACACACGTCTTGAGCTTTCGCCTTCAGAAAAAATAGAAAAAGTTACATGTAGTTCGTGGACGAATTAAAATCCCTCTTCACAATACTTGGTCCCTAAACACCAATTGAATACCGGACCATCTGAAAGCCAAACAAACAGTCAACACGATTGACAATAACAAACAGATCAAATAACCTGACATGCTTTTTCCACTCGTTGTTTCCATTTGGATTCAATAACAGACCGCCATGCACTCCAGGCACGTGACTTTAAAGCGTGTTTGTAATGTCTTCCGGCAAGTTTGGATGCAAAACCCTGAAAAGAAACAACATGATGACCATCAGAAAATTGACCGAACTGAAATGTGTGAGGAAATAATGGTGTGATGTGCACTAAGACGATTTGGGTGGAAGGTAATAAACATGTAGTCACAAAAAAAAATACGGGGTGTTAAGGTGCAAAGTGGAAGTTCTACTGGTCTGAACTGATTACAACTGGGAAGATACAGTTGGTTTATTATCAATATCTGTAATCATAAATATTGCTATAAGGTACCAAAGGTTTAAGAGAGACTTCTAAATTTCAATCCCGTGCACAGGCGTCTATGAATACTGTCCTACAATTATTTCGTCAGGGTTCCTGAACTGACCTCTCTTTTTTCATCGCAGTGTCTGATTTTCCACAAGGTAAAAGCCTTCATAAGTTCATTTCTTTCCCTCTATGAAAAAAACATACAAGTTTGTTAACCTTCGGAAATTACATCAAATCGCGGGAGTGCCAAACGGGAGAATCAAATCGTCGTGAATAAATTGTCACTAGTAAATCGCCGCGGGTAAATTGTCGCGCGTCAAGGGTGAAAAATTCAAGCATAATCACAACGCACTTGTCTCTTTTTCCCCTTCAGTTGAGCAATGCGTAAAGTGTTGGAGGTATGTGGAAGTAACGATATGGATGCTACCAACAAAAAAAAACATAACAAAAAGCTTGTCCTGATATAAGATGGACAATGCTCTTTCAGAATCCGGCCTTTTTCAACCCTTGTTCGACTTTAATATCATAAGCTGGACAACAGAACTTAACAAATAAGAGGAATGAAATAAAAAAAAGTGCGAATAGTTTAAATTGTACTGTGGTTGAAAAGTTTAAAGCCCATTTTGATTTCTATTTGTTCATCAACTAGTTACCAAACGAGTAAATCTGTTTTGAAAATGAAATAAACACACAAGGACATGCCGCTATAGTTTGATTTCTCAATAGATGGCTCTCATTGTAAAAACATAGCAGATTGTCTCTTGTAATCATCCATTTCATCCTATTCAACTTAATTATTCCATTCGCGACCCGCGAAGATAAGTAAGTTACTGTCAAGACAAAAATGTACAACAAACCTGTTTGTGAATAGCGTGTGTGATGTTGGTAACAATAGAGTCTTTGTGTGTCAGGGTCTGTTCATAAGTCAGTAACAACTCTTTTTGACTCTCCATCTCATTCATCAGCTTGTGCATTTCACTGCCGTGTCTGTGGGGTAAAAAAGCTTTAATAAATAAACGTTCAATGAAGCTCAAAAACGCCTGAGTAAGTAACAGATTCCCAGCAAGAGTCTATTTCCCTGAAAACAAAGTGATCAGTAGACCATGACGGCAAGGTCCTTGCCATTTGGCGAGATATGGTCACGTGAACAGCTTCCGGGAGTCAGCTCCAGGGTAATAGAACTGTGTGCGTCGCGTCTATCAATGAAAGCACCCTGCTCTTGTACAAAGAAATGAAAAGATGGCCTTAGATGTGCAACGTATTCGTCTTACGAACGATCACACCTTGGAAACGGCATCTGAGGTGATGTCCCAGTTACAGTTCGAGAGACGCTTACCGGATGGACGTGGACAAGAGTCTTATAGACAAATTCTGAGAAACCTTGGTTTTAAAAGCGAACAAAACGACTCAGAATCATACAAACAGGATGTATTCCAAGGCCAGTGTTTAATACTAGGAGATGCTAGAGTTGGCAAGACCAGTTTAACAAAATCGCTTACAGGGCAACCGTTTGATGCAGCTGAACCAAGGACTAAAGGTGTGGAAATGAGTTTAGTTGACCGGAGGTGGAAAAGACTCAACGCCGACGATGGTCTTAAATTTGGAAGCTTTACTCGATTCCAGGAATCTGCTCTGTACCACGGTTTGATGTTTGGCCCTGCAGGAGTCGAAGTCATTATCGATGATGAAATAACATCAGCAATGTCAGCAGTGGTACACCTCATGTTCTTCTTACTACGTATATCCTGGATAATTTCGATCGTATGGCTTGGGGCTTTCGCATCAGTGTCTGTCAGTTTCTATGCATATTCAATTGCTGTATTTACTTTGCAAATTTGGCTACAGCCTCAGCGATCAGAGCATCCAGAATTTTTTAAACTCGCTTGGTTGATGGCCGTGCTCCCTCGAATTCTAATGGGATTAGGAGCTGCACATGTGCTTGCAGGGCCCTTTAAAGAATTGGAGTGTCAAAAGTTTGACCCATCAATTAGATTAATAATATTTCATGATTACCTGTTGATCTGGGTACTCCACATAGCGATTGTTACTATCCTGATCTGTGACATTAGCTATCATTTGTCCTGTAATCACTATTTTCAAATCAGTAATTGGAAAGGGATTGAATCATCTGTCCCTGGTCAAGCAAAGTTCAATTATCCACTACCTTTTCTGCCGTGCCTCGTATGGTTTTTAATTCCTGTAATGTGTGGCTTTAGTTTTGGTTCCATTTTTCAGCTACAAATATCAACTAACATGACAACCCTCCATTATTGTTACATTCTTCATTTCTTAGTGATTCCTCTCGCTTTCCTCGTAACCGTTAGAGTTACTCAGGCTTTGTGTTCCCTGGTAAACATGCAGGCTATCAGTTCGATCTTATTGTTTTATATCATCTTTGACAAATTATCTGAAAATTTTATTCACTTCTGTTCCCTTAAAATGTATTCAGCAATATTTTCAGTGTCAGCATGCCTCACTTTGTACAGTGAATATAATTCTCTGTTTTCTATTTTCAATTATAATACTCTAGATGCAAGGGAAACGCAAGCTACTTTCACTTTTATCTTTATTGAAAAGATAGCACTGAATTTCCAGAAGTTGAGAAGGGCTCTAAATTCTACATTTTCCAGTCTTAAACTAAAAATATTAGACTTCTCAGGAGATGAAGAGTACTATGCTTACCATCATATCTTCATGAGAGACAATGCCATCTACCTTGTGCTCTTCAACATGACAAACTTTGCAGATGACAATTTTGGAAACATGGCAGCAAAAATCGAAAGACTTAAATTCTGGATGGAATCCATTTGCAGTAAGGCCTCATCAAGGACACCCATCTTCCTTGTTGGAACACACAGGGGCCATATGGAAAAACTTTGTTTGAACAAAATTGATAAGCACCTGCGGCAGAATATTTTGGATTCCTTTAGCGATGAGCTTGTTCTGAATGAAGAAGACAACCTCTTGTACTTCCCTGTAGAGAATACTTATGGAAAAAATGATACTGGGATTCAAAATCTCAAGAGAGTAATAATTGCTGAAGCTGAAGAGTGTAAGACAACTATTGGGCGTGAAATACCATTTTCATGGATAAAAATCCAAGATGCAATCATTAACTTGAGAAACAACAAGAGTGCAAAGT